CAAAACCACCAAACCAAAAAAAGAGGGGGCGGGGAGGGAAGGAAGGAAGGAGGGAGGGCTTAAACAAAACTAGGAGGAAGCCAGCTAAGCCAAGCACTATCGTCTTGGACTACAGGAACAGGAATACCAGTTCTGACATACCTAACCCCCTAAAGTACTCGAAAATTTTAGAATTTAATAATCAGAACTGTGAGCAAGAGAAACATGGATTAGTGTGTTTTTCCTTCTCATTCTAAGTCTCTTCCAGACCGTCCATGGATTACTGTTGACAGTTGAGTACCATAGGATAGTGTTTGCTACCTAAGCTTTCTCTCCCTCCTCAAATAAAATCGTAAGACCCACAAGTGTTTTTCATACCCTTTAGCCCACAAATAGAACTTTGGTAGCTGAAATCCTAAACCTGATTGTCAACATAGTGTAAAGCAAAGCATAATTTTCAGTTCCTTGAAACCTTCAACCATGAAAACAATAACTCCTCATGAAAAACCCCTTTGACAATCCCAAACTTAGACTTAAAGTTCCAAGCTTAAAGCCCACCACTTTCAAACGGTACAGTCCAAAGCAAAAATATACATCACAAAGTTTTAAAACTTGATAATCAATCAAACATTTTAGTATTTGCCATATCCCCATTTATACGGGGGGTGAAGTACTGACATATTTTTCACAAACACAATGGTTATCTCATATCTGGAATGCTCTGCCATGATAATGGTGAAATCAATTCTGACAAGAATCATGTGTAAACATTGATATAATGCTTGCACGAAAGAGATAATGAAGAAATTACCTGATCCACAAGAATCTTAAGCAAAGCATCTCTCTCCTTTTCTATCGAATTATGTGAGATACCAAAGTAAGTGGAAGCTCTAGCAAGGGCAGAATGAATGGTTTGATTTGCATCTCCATATTTGCAAAAATCCTCGGCCAACTTTCTCACTGAATAATTGAAGACAAAATCTCATACACAAGCATTGAGAAAGGAACCAAATACACCACATAAGAAAAACCGCTACCTATCTCCATTTGCTTTGAGCTTACAGAAATGAATCCTTCCACTCCACGAACAATATTCCGCTGAAAATGCTGGTGATCATAACAGATTATTACACTCCATGTCTATTACTATAATTCCTTATAGCAATTGCTTGAAGCAGTGTATAAGGCATCATAGGAATTTTAGTACTCAACAAATCTGTAGTAGTCAAAATTAAAGGAACTTTAAATACTATAATATAGACCTTAGCTGCCCTTGTAGAATTATATAAATTTTGAAGTTGTTGGTGGCACAAGAGTTCATCTTCATCAACCATTTCGGTATCATTACTTAAGGTTCCCAATCGTCTTAATACTGCCTGCAACATAAACAACATTAAAGCCTTAATTAGAATATAACAGAAAACCAAAGTACTTCACTTGGGACTACATTTATGCGCTTAATGAAGTCAATCACAATAAAAGATGCTTTTTTCTTCCATTAATTCCTTGGTAGGCAAAATGAACAGCACAAAAGTAAGACCAACGTTGAAAAAAACCTGACTTTAGCAAGATTAGAAGATTCTGTTGAAATACTATTAAACCTTTTTCTACATGTTGAGAGCAGATGCTCTAAGATTATCATTTTCCAAGGGTATATTAAAAAAAATTAAAAAAAAAGCTGAAAGTGGTCCCAAAAGAGAGAGAGAAGAAGATTTAAAAAGAAGCAACTCTAGAACCAATTTCACGCTCAGAATAGAATCATAATCTTAAAAATCACCAGCAATTTCTTCTGCTTTACAACGAGCGAATAAAGCTTAAAAGCTTAAAGTTTATCATAATCAACAATTTAGAAAAGAACTTTGCAGAAAGTAAAACTCATCAAAGCTTAAAAGCTCATTTCAATCACATATGCACACACACATATATAATTACACATACCTATATATGTATATATGTATATATATATGATCATCCCCAATATGAAAGTAAGAACTAAACCTGCTGTTGCCTTGCGACTTGCTCTCTGAGCTTGGTCGCCTGCTTCCGAATGGCGTCCATGGATTAAGCAGAAAGATGAAGAAGAGAGAGAAACAGCAAATTAAGACCTAGATAGATAAATATTAGATAGTGATCACCAGGTGAGAGAGAGAGAGAAAGAGAAATGGAGGAAAGGGAAAGGGAAAAGTTGAATTGCTTTTTGGTGTTTGGCTGCTTCTCTGTTTGCAATCACAATCAAGAGAGTGTATTTTGTTGGGTAGGTAACCGAAACTGCAGAGATGGATTGGGAACGAATAATAATAATAATAAACATGTTTGGCAAAACGAAGAATCTTTTTCTTTTGAGAGTCAAAATCAAAAAAGTAAAAACAGTCCATTCCATTCCACGACAATTCGGTGGACATCATCAGATCGATCCGATCAGAAAAGAATAATAATGCGTTGGAAAACAACTGTGGATGTGATGGCGTTTTCCAAATAGCGTTGGATTTGGTTATTAATCAACGGACGCTAATGTTTCAGTTCAATATGTGGGACTTCTATGTCAGAGAGCGAGAAACTGCAGTAACTGATTTTTTTCTTTTTTTTTTTTTTCAGTAAAAGATGTGTCGAATGTATCCAGCAAAAATAAGATGTAAAATTAGTTGGATGGCGGATTTTGATGACCTTTTTGAAACTAGTGGCCAATTTTTGTATTTTTTAAGGTAAATGGCCTAGCTTTTTTTCCCCCCTTTATGCTTAGGTAAATGATGGTTTTTTACAGTAATAAATCATTAATACAATCTATAATTGATAAACCGGTTTGCGATAAATTGGTAAATTATTGATTAAAATTAACTTATCAGCGATACACTACCTAATAAATCAGTGATAAATGCCCTTTATTGTTGGTTTATCATGCTATTATTAATAAACGCTATTTTTTAATGTAAAAATTCAGTAAATAACTCGAAAAAAGTCATTTTCACACATATCTCTTATTTATTGTTGTAAAAAAAATAGATTAAATATATAAATCTTTTTTATTTTTAACATAATGTATTTTTTTTTAGGTTATCAAAAAGTCATATTATGTATTTTGTATAATATCACATTTATACGTCTGTATTGCAAATTTAAATCAATCTCTATAATTTCCTCGTTAATGATAATTTCTTACCCAAAAAAGTAAACAAAAGAATTCCAAAATTAAAAAAAAAAAACAATTAAAATTGATAAGAAACAAATAATAAACTTTTTAAAGTTTTTATTTATTTATTTTTATCTTTACCCTTTCGTGGTGAATATATATTATACCGATGATAATCCACCGACTTCCACTGTTTTATAATACCAAAGGTAGTCTACCAACAGGTTAGAATACTAAACAAACAATATAACAGTTTGAAATGACAAAAAGATCATGCAAGCTATACTACGTCGCGGTGCGAATATGCACCTGCCCCCACCAACAAACGTATCTTTTAATGACGACAATTATTTGTTCCCGCATCGTTGCCAAAACTTAGTATCTACAAGCATTTAGCGTCGATATGATCGATATCTTGTTGTTAAAGATTGTGTCGTCGATATTTTTTACAGTGGTATCGCTCACATCGTGAATTGTGTTGGTATCAAAAGTATTTCAGTGACGTTTGAGCTGATTAAACGTTCAACAGGAGGCTATTTAGGCCTCGTTCACTTTGCGGATTCGAGTTTTTAATTCGAGCTGAGATGTGATATTTCCTGAGAACTTTCTACTGTAGCAAAAAAGTTAGATGTGACATTTTCTGAGAACTTTTTACTGTAGAAACCTAAAACTGAAAACTCGAATCAGTGAAATGAACGAGACATAATAATGTGTTTCGGCCAAAAATGTAAGTTATGTGATAGTTTAACTAAACAGATTGATGGGTCATTTTAGGTTAGGTATACGATCACATTAATGTTTTAGATAAATTACACTTGAGCCCCCTGAAACGTGTTACAAAAATTCTCCTTAAACTTTAAAAATAACAAATTTTCCTCCTGAATAATTCGCCGTTAGCAGGCGTCCTCCTTGTCCGCTCTCTCTATTAAATTTTAAACGTTAAGTGTGACGTGTCAGTCGCTGAGACATTTAATTTTTAATGTAATATGAAATGACGATTTTACCCATATAGTCATCCCTTTCTCTGGTTCCCTGTGTATTTTGCCATGGAACTTGGCTTGCATGTGGTTGGTCTTGAAGGAGGAAAGTCTGGGGATGGAGTAGAGCCAGTAGAAGATATTTGAATACAGTAGGTTACAAATTTTCATCTCCTCAAAACAATCCTAGACACGGGTCTTGTAGCTGCACACGGCACAACCCCGCGGCGCATTAACATTATTTACAAGAATTCAAAGGCCACTCTTTAGTGAAGTTTGTGTTTAGAATCATGACTACCTTATATTTTCTGATCATATCTTCTTCCAGAACTTCAAGTATAGGTCATGATTCTTAAGTCGCTGCTCGGCACGCGCCTATTTTTATAGAAAATTCACTTGCATAACATAATGGTCTTTCAACTTTCTTTCTGGGCACAATAAGTAAGATAATTTATGAATATGGAACATTGAAACATAGAGCAGGTGGCCTTCTTAGAACTAAGATATGCTTAAAAGTATAGCTGTTTATTAATTTGTTTTCCATACAATTTATTAGAATACAGTAGGCCCACGGTGAGAGTGGCGACGGCGGGGTGCCACCGAGGTCGAGAAGGAAGGCGGCGCATGGGAGGAGAGCGACGGCGATGCGGGAGTTGTGAGCAAAGAAAGAGACGGCCGGAAGCGAGAAATGTTGTTGTTGAGGGATCTACGTGAAGAAGGACGGGCATCGGAGGGGTTAGGGTTTGGATCGGAGGAGAAATTGTTGAAGGAGGGAGTGGAGGAGAAGGAAGGAGCGCTGACTGAAGAGGAGATGTAGGGACGAAAGGAGCGGGGTTGGAGCTCCGGCGGGATCATCTTCACCAGTGCCGGAGACGATGAGAGGATTTTGGGTATTATGGAATAGATTTCAGAATTTGCCTTAAATTACTTATTTGTCCTGATAATGAGAGTCACATGTCAGAAACGTGATATTTACCGTTTAAAATTTAACAGAGGGGGGCGGATAAGGAGGAAGTGTGCTAATGGAGAATTATTCAAGGAGAAAATTTACTGTTTTTAAAGTTTAAGAGGAATTTTTGTAACACACCAATAATTTAAGAGGCACAAGTATATTTTGTCCTAATGTTTTTAAACAGATTGTGCTACCGCCTAACTTATTAAATATAAATATTTACGCTTTTGCTAAAATAGAGGACCGTACATCTGTGTATATATATATAATGATATATAGAAGGAAGAATCATAACCTATGATATTCTTTAACACATTAATCACTTAAGAAATGGACATAATGTTACTGATTCAAAATATCATTTAATACATATAGGTAAATTGTTGCTTCATTAATTTGGCAGTTAGTCTAAGTATTTAGTTTGAAGATATCAGTTTTTATACATCGAGTTTGAATATTAAAAAACGTGACTTTTTTTAATAGAAAATTCAAAAAAAAAAAGTGACTATTTTAATCAAGCCGCCCAAAATCAGCAAAAGCAATGAGAAAGCAGTTTAGTCTTCCTTCAAGAAATTATTAAATTTAGAAAAGAAAATAAAACTTCGATTAATTTTGTGGGTCACCTTGCAAATTTTTTGTTTTGTTGTCGTTTGTTTTTTACTCTGACCTTAGTCTTACGCAACTCTCATGAACGGTCCGACACATATATAAAATGAAAACTTTCCAACAACACAACATGTACATACGTGAAAAGCCAAAACACTACCAAAATTAATCCATTAGAAAACACACCACAAAACAAAATGAAAATAAGCACTACAACTATATATATATATATATATATATATATAGAAATATCTATATATTGATCAAACTGATCTCTAAGTAGTAGTAGTCAATCACATATTGGTGCAATCAGTAGGCTTAAACGACACAATCCCACTCTCGAGATCATACCCAACCAAGAAATTCATCTGAGCCAAGTTGCCAAATATAGCAACGTCGTTTGAGGGAATCATGGTGAAGCAGAACAAGTCATCCTCAACCTTCGCAAAAGTGTTCATCGGCTGCAAAACGACATCCGCGCCACTAAAATGAGCCGTTATAATCGGAGCACTAGCAAGACTTTCACTCTCCTTTTCGGCTCTGAAACAAAGGCTCAAAACCCCCTTCGGATCGCTGACCCTCTCGGCGTCAACGGCTTCCGCTAAAGCCGACACCAAATCGTCGTGGAATCCGACCGGAAGAAAGGTCAACGTCGTCCCGGAATCGATTATGATGTTGCCTTCATTGCCAGCCAAAGCTTTGGATTGATTATGATTCTCATGGTAATAGACCAACCTCTTTTTTCCAACGCTAATGGCCTCCAAAGTTAGGTAGTAGAAGGTGTTAGGCTCTTTCGCGACTAAAGGCGTGGAAACGACGCTGGGACCGGAGACGATCCCGGCTCTGCCGAAGCTGATCTTGCTTGTGACATAAGGTTCTGAGGTTAAGGGAACTAGACAGTAGGAGAATTTGCCTCCAATGGACTTGCCTAGTTGAGAAACTAGAGAAAGAGGGCCGCCGCCGAGGCCTATTAGGCCCGACCCCGACTCGTCGAACGTGCCGCCGTTTTCGCGGCCGCAGCCGAAGATGATCTTTGGGAGGGAAGTTGAGCCTATGGTAAGCGTGTCGGAGGCGAGATTTCCCTTGGTGAAGGAGTGGTCGCCGTAGGAGTACCTGTACTCGCACGTGTCGCCGCCGCGCTCCGCGGCGGCGTCACAGCTCGACTCGAGCAATTCGCTGCAGGGTTTGGACTCGCAGGCGATGTTGCGGTACGTGGAGGATTTGTTTGGATTGAACATGGGCGGATTTTGCTTGAAGCATTGCGTGCATGGCTTGCATTGCGTCCACATGAGGTCGCTTCCGGTGTCTGCTATGCCGAGGACCGGGACCGGCGGGGTCCCAAGCGAGACGTTCATGAGGTACTCTCCCTCGCTTGGGATGATTTTGGATTGAATTGGTATGGATGACGACGACGAGGAGGAGAAGGAGAGTAAGGTGGTTGGTTTGTATAACCGGTCGACGCGCGAAAAGGAGCGGCCGAAAGCGCTGCGAAGGCGGTCGAAATTATCGGCCGCCAAGGGATTGTAGGCCGGGGAAAATGGTGAGTCGCGTTGTATGAGATCAATGATGAAACCTCTAGTGAGTGCTTCTGTTGGGAGAGAAAAATCATTGAGCATAATAAGACATCCAAAAAGAACAACACTGAGACAAAAAGACAAATGATTGACTGCCATTTTGAAGTAAAACAAGAGAGAAATTCTAAAAGGTGAGGACGAAGAAGATGTGGATAGTGTGTTTATATTGAAATTGTGTATAAACTGATAACAGTGGGAAATTGGAACTTGGAAGGTCAAAAGATCAAGGATGATATAATGTAATTAATTTACCTTAATTTATCGAGCCATATTAATGTATAATAATAAGTTGGTTAACTTGTTGATTTTTTCACTCAATGAAAATGTTAAATGATTGGCAACATTTGCAGAAGATATAAAATCAAGTGATCATTGAAAAGGGTCCTGAACATAAAAACGGATTGTATTGAAGGACTTTTTAACTCTCTGTATTGAAGATGGAGTGAATTAATCACAAATAATATTATGATTAATCGTTTAGAATTCCATAAGTACTTCCGTTTTTTGCACAGGCGAGGGAAAGGACGTGCGTTTTCCGTTTATAACTTTAACGGTAGAATTCTATTAGTACAAATTGACATATCAATTTAACACCCCATATATACAACAACAGTTGGTATTAGAAAATAACAACGGTTTCTAATTCTCAAAAAAAAAAAAAAAATCGTGATAGAGCATGGAATCCTAAAAATATTCTTGCTCAATATATGTTAATTAACAGTTTCTTTTAAGGGAGATAACTTTGGGAACGCGAAGCGAATCATGTTAATTGGTGTCTTTAGTTATTTTGTTTTGCTCTTCATTATGTCAATTGCATAAACCAATGCACATCATCTAGGAACTGATAGAAAAGTCTCGCAATCTCAGGAATATACAGCCTAGAAATTTAACCAGTCAAAAAAAAAAGAGATCAGTTGCATAAACGATTTGGACAAATCAAGAAGACATAAGGACTGAAGATCATAGATGATAGCAAAATTTTGCTTCTGCGAATGATTGATGCACATGAACATAGAGACACTTTTCCTTCCTTTTTTTTCACTTCACTAATAAAAAATGGACTATTAGGATTCTAACCTGAGTGACACACATACTTACAGACCCAACTACTTGAGTTCAGCAAAACTCTTCAAGAAACGGGAACAACAATTTGCCCATGTTTATTTCATTAGTTTAGTTCAGTTCAACTCAGTTTGAACGGTCAATACAGTTTGAACTAGTGTTTGGTAAGCACGCAGTTTAAATTATATTCTCCGTTTGAACTAAATCGAACGGTCTAATTAGAGTTTAGCTCCCCCTACAGTTCAACCGTTCAAACTTGTTAGGAACCCGGAAATCTGAGCTTCATTAACAATACTAAAAATGGAAAATTACAATATAGATTGGTGGTTTCGAGGACTCCCGACCTGGCAGTTTCGATGACCCCCGACCTCCAAGATAGTGCACAGCACTAGACAGTCTCTATAAATCTCATCATGCCCCCTCCCTAACAACTAAACCCCCTATTTATACTACTGTTAAGACTATTGAAAAAGACTTAAATATTAAGTTCTTAACAAAATCAATTTTGAACAGTAAAAATGTGCGCACTTTTTCTGTTTTTTACACCTACCAAACACAAAGTCGAATTTTTTTCCTCGTTCAAAATTCAAACTTTAACTACATATCTAAACGTCAATTCAAACTACAATTTAAACCACACCGTTTAAATTTTTCTATTTAAATCAAAAAGTTTAAATCAACAAAATTCAAACTAGATAACCAAATGGGAGAAGTTCATGATTTGAATAACCTCCAAATCTTGACAACGTCTTATTGCATTCCAGCAGGCTTTTCCAAGTGGCCCTTTTTTAATTGACTTTTGGTAATATAAGAGAAATTATTCATTCTTTTATAATGAAAATCCTTTTAATTTCTAAAATATTGAGTATTCCTATTAGGATAAGTTGAGATGTGAGATAAAAAATAGGCCCCCATCACAGTGGAGCTCCACAATCCAGAGTCCAGACTCAATATATAGTACTTGCACAGTTGCACTCTAATTTTCATGATTGGCAAAGGAAGGGAAAAAAAAAAATTGGAAGTTCAAGATACAGATTACAGAATGGTAGCACCATTCCTTGCTGCATATCGCACTTTTGATCATTAAACACTGACTGATTAAAAAAGAATGGGAACGGAATAATCATTTTAAACACCGATTATGATTAGCAGTTGATTTGTCAATCACAAAAACAGAATTTCAAGACCTCAATTTCCTCTGCATCTAGGAGGGAATTGATGGAAACAAAATCAACACTTTTACTGCAGAAATTTTGTAATTTATCATGTGAAATCCAAAAAAAAAAGGCTAGAGTAAGAGAAGAACATATAAGAAATAGTCCTCTCCATCTGCCAATTGTTAGAGCATGAGTTTGAAATGTTATAGAATCACATAAATAATAGTCCAAAATCAAAGCAGATCTGATTGAAACAGTTGAATAACTCTTCACATACCACTAACTTAAAACTATCATCTAAATTAATCACGCTTATTATATTGATTTAACTTTCTCAACCGAATATACGGAGGACATAATAATATAACATCAGAAAACTTGTTAAAATTACTTACCATGAACGTAAAAAGAAGAATAATAATAATGATGAATGACCTGTGAAGGGGCTTAAATTAATATGTAAAAAGCATGTTCATGACAATAAGACTTCAATTCATAACAATCTTACCTTAGAAACATTATAAGAACCGCCATATGAAGGCAACTTTCAAATCATATATATTTATGTATGCATATACCAAGATTTACAAACACAATACACATTGCAAACGTTGCATTTTATAAATATTAAACCATGAACAACTTGTATCGGCTATGTTTCTGAAATTTATGAAGTAACTTAAAAAAATAAAAAATAAAAAGAAAAGCAAAGTTTTGAAAATAACGCTCATTGAGTAATCTAATCATCACTTAGCTCATCTTCTATGCCAGAAACGTTCATCCTCAAAGATGCTTGCTTAGCCAACTTGACAATTTTCTGGGCCTCTAAACTAATCTTCTTTTGTTCCACCATTGCCTTTTTGAGTATCTTTCGCTGCTCTTTTATGGAGAAACTGCCTAAATCCGCCAACAGCTCCTCGTTCTTGCTCCAACCGAAATCATCTCTTTCTGTCCAAATGTCTTCCTTTCTGGTGGAAGAACCCTTCTTCGGAGAACACCAGAAGCAACCTGGTTTTCTCGGCGGGGAGGGAGATTCCCTTGAATATTTCGAAGAGCCCAGAGGAGAATTAGAAAAGGACCGACTTTCCGGTCTCAAACCGAAACGTTTCTTCTTGTCGAAGCCCCGTTTCGAAACGTCTACACTTTTGCGAGTGAACTCAGAAGAAGAATTCGAGGTGGAACCGAAACGTTTCTTACCGTCGAAACTCCGTTTCAAAGACGGGAATTTCGGTCTCCCCAGAGACGAATCCGAAGAAGAATTCGAAGAAATCGAAACCGACCCACATTTGGGTTCCCCTTTAGAACGCGTTTTCCGCTGTTCAGATGGCGTTCCCGGCGAGTCCAAGGGCGGTGAGAGAGACCCAGATTTCTTACCAGCTTGGTCCTGTCTGGAAGGCGAGAAAACTTTGTCATCCAAGTGGGTCTTCGAAGCGAAATGGGAATCGAAACGAGCAGAAGAGGCGTGCGAGGAGGGTCTGGGCTTGGGGTTGGCGGTGGTGGTGGTCGCGGGGAAGGATTTTAGTCTGGAGAAGCGGGATTCGAGGTCGGTGGGGAGGACTTCGTCGGCGAAACCGGAGCAGTTGATGGCAGCGACTTGTTCGAGGACGCAGAGGTCGCGCGCTTGGGAAATGAGGTCTTCCACGGCCGAGTCGTCGGTGTCGGAGAGGAATGAGAAATCGGCCATCTTCACGAGGCGAAGATTGGAAGAAGCTTCAGCTCAGAGCACGTTTTTGATAATTAGACTCAGAGCAAGTTTTTTTTTTTTTTTTTTTTTTTCGCTTGATCGTTCTTTTCTTGCAAATTGGCAATCTAGGGTTTTTCTCACAACTTGGCAGAGTAGTAGTGCACCAGTAGAGAGGAGTCTTGCACTGGGAAGAAAGGTGTGTAACGGCTAACTCATGATTTTGGCTTTTCTCTGGGCTGCGAGTTTCAACGAGTGGGACCCACTTTTATTCTTAGGTGGACCCGCTAGGATCTTCCTTTTATACCTGCTAACCAGGTTTGTTCGTTGTTTTTTTTTTTTCCTCAGGTTTACCTTAATCTTATTTTAATAATTTTTAAAACTCTCATAATTAGTTTTTAAAGTTTCATTCTGTTTTAATTTTGATCGTGTGGTTAGCTTAGTATTATACATTTAACAGAACTTATGGAAATTAAATATCAAAATTAGAAACATATAAAGTTTAGGATCTAAAATCACATAAAAAATAAAAATTAACTTTTACATATAGTCTTAAAACTTTAGTTGTTTTTAATTTTAATCTCTAATTTACACATATTCTATTAAATTTTAACGTTTAGTTAACAAAAATTAAAATTGAAACAAAATAAAACTTTAAAGATTGTGGGACATATGAAAAGTCAAAAACCAAAGTATGATTGAGAGTAAATCTCAAAAACTATTTTTTGAATTAATCCTTTTTTTAACAAAACAAGTTTGGGAATGTTTTTGCTTTAGGTGGTTCTATTTACACTTATTTACTTTTTTTCATTCATTTTTAAATTAAAATTTCTTATACATATATTAAAATTTTAATATTATATTACAAAACAAAAAAGCCTTACATAAAACGATAAAAAAAATGACAAATACGATAGCTTAGGGTCCATTTAGTTCGCTGATTCAAGTTTTTAATTCGAGTTGAAATGTGACTTTATGTGAGAGCTTTTTACTGTAATAAAAAAGTTAGATGTGACTGTTTTTTAAACTTTTTACTGTAACAAAATTCAATTTCTAAACTCAAATCGGTAAAATAAACAGAACCTTAATTTATGTAATTAAAATTCTATTATAAAAATAAAACTAATGAGGAAGATTTTTTTTAATCTCCGTACATTCCATGTCATATCTTCAAATTATAAATTATTGCTATTTTTAAATCTATGAAAAACTATAGTTTTTACTTTTCAATGACCATTTTAATAAGTTGTATGGAGATATATTAAGGTCTCGCTCATTTCGTTCATTTGAGTTGATGAGAACATGAGTTTAAAAGTGAATGTGTGTAAGAGAAATCATTGTAGTAAAAAAATTAAATTTAAATTTTTATGAGAGAAAATACTGTAATAAAAATTTTGAGTTGTAATTCAAATGATAAAACGAACGAGTAATATTTTTTTTTTTTGTTACTTATTATATGAAAATTGTTCCTTTTTTTTTTTCGTTTCGTGATTAGGTTATTTTGCTAACCATTTCGTTTCTTTAGAAGGCTAATCGTTTTGCTTTTTGTTTTTTTAGTTTTATAAAGTTACATTGATTCCTTTTTTTTTTTTTTCATTTCGTTTGTTTTTCTTATGTTCATATGTTGTTTTACCGTTTTATATTATTTTGCTTTTCGTATTTACATTTTTCTTTTTAGTTTTTGAGTTTGTTTTGCTTTCTTTTTTTTTAAATTGTTTGTCTTGCCTTTGATATGTTCATGCCATTTAGACGCTTTTTTACAAGATGACATATCTATTCAATGAAATAATACTTGCAAAACAATTGTTATATGATAAATTTTCTTTACGTATGAAAAAGGCTTCATACCTAAAACTTAAACAAAAGAAATAGAGATATAGATCAATGATAATATGAACACAATGAATTAAAATGAAATGATAGGTGTGAGAAGAAAAATAAAGTGGTTCAAAATTAATTATAATCTCATAAAAATAATTTAAGATAATTTTAGAATAATAAAAGAGTGTAGAAAATAAATTTATTCATTTCAAAATTGTATGAAGTGTGAATTTAGAATGCAGTGTGAAGACTAAAGATGAGCGTATGAATAGAAACATTTCTATGTGGTCCTTTTTATTCCTTTTTAAAATAAAAAATTTGCCATTTTTTCATGCTATTTTTAATATAGTAGAATAGTTGAAAGAAAGAAATTATTGGATGCATTTTAGAGTGGAAAAAAAGAATATTGTATTGTTTGGTAGACAAGAAATTAGGCAAAAAAACAAAAAAAAAAAAGAAGTAAAAAATTCATTAAGATCACCGTTTTTGAATCCTTTCAACTTTAACGAGAAAATGGAAGACGAAAAAAAAAGGTTTAAATAACTAATTTGTCCTTAATTACATGTCATCTACTCACTATATATAAGGGTATAATGGTAAAATAAATTTATGGAGGTTATTTTTGTGCTATTTTCTTTCTCTTCAATCGAACATGATTGTCCTCACTTACGTTTTTTATATTCTTATTCCTTTTTATTTTCTAACCCACTTACTACGCATACTGTATGCAGCATTAGAGAGGGAAAGTGATTATATAAATCTTACGGTATTTAAGCAAGGATTCAAACTTTTATACCCTTTTATTAGAGGCGCATTTCCCTAAATTTCTCCTTCTTTTTACTTTTTTTTTCCTGAAATAAAAGATTTATGTGAGATTCTTTCATTTCTGCATTGTATAAATTTTCACATGATAGAAAAGGAAAATAAAAGTACAAGCTTTGAATTAATAAATTTTTTTTGAATTAATAACTGAATTATATATAGAGATTTTATTTGGTGTTCTCTCTTTCTTAAAAACATTAGTGTTTTATGTTTATCATCCGTCAAAACTGTATTAAATCTAGTTAAAAATCAAATTAGATTAAAAAAATACATATTTAATAATTAATAAACAGAAAATATTGATATATGTCAACCATTCATTATTAAATTGACAGTCATACACTATTCAAAGGAAAATAGAAAAGTTGCAACATGTGCGTAATTAGTATATGATGCATCTCATACATCACGAGGGTGTCAAGATGTGGGAGAACATAAGTAGCGCTAGTATTAAATTTTGATATTAATTTTGAGTTGTCCATTGTTACTAAATTTTGATATTAATTTTTTGTTGTCTATCTTTTTAATTAGAATTTTTTTTAATGGAATATATAATCTTTTATCATTAACTGATCAAATGTAATCATATAAGACAAATGCGGGGGTTTTTCTACACAAAAAACTTGTCCATTATGAATGGAAGACTAGAGAGAGTGACCTTACACCAACTTGAGATTCACGATGAGTTGTATTTGTTAATATTACAATAAATCAGCTATATGTGATTTTCGAGCCAAAAAAAAAAAAAAATCAGCCATATGTGATGTTAATATTAGTCGTGTACACCTCTCACAACACTTTATTTTGAAATATTCTCTAGTACGTTAACATACTAATAGATTATATTTTATGTCTGTTAGATTTATATAAAATTACGTAAAAGTAAAAAAAAAAAATACGTAGATCTAACAGTTAAAAAGACCTATCGATACATCATGCATACATGAGAATCTCATATTTTAGTTTTGTAGAATTATAGTAAACAACATCTTTTCAAGAATGCCGACTTATTTAGGATGTCAATGTATCATTAGTGATCTTTATCACCTAATCGAAAAATGTAAAACTGTGAATCCTTTACATCATAATGTGTGTCTTAAATTTAACAGTTATACGAACGATGGGATAAAAACGTATGACGATGAATATGAACAATGATTATTAGCATTCTATATTTTCCTGGAAAAATAAATGTTGGAGTTGTTAGAGACTTAATTAATAAAATATTTATGAGCAACCGGGCCACGAAACAGCTAGTAATCAAAACAAATGACGTAATCTTTTACTAACTCAAATAACGAACTTTGTAATTTAATTGTTGCTATATATACTTTGGTCCCCACAGCACAACAAATAATCCATTTAATTAAGAGGGCAAGATAAGGATGCTAATGAAACCTAATTAAATTATCAGCCCAAAAAAATTAGAAGAAGATAGCAAATATTATTGATTTTCGGTGAGCTAGATTAGAAAGTAATAGGGTAGTACATTAATGCTTCGGATCCAATGGTGGTGAAATTGGTGGTACCCCATGCATCATTCAAACAGAAAAAAAAAAAAAAAAAAAAAAAAAAAAAAAAAAAAAAAAAAAAAAAAAGAATTTTAATAACTAGTTTTAATAGTTATTCTAATATTCACTTATCAACGGGTATCATCGTTTTAGCCATAAAATATATTAATCCGACGGTTATAACAATTATGTAGTAGACAAAAAAAATGACAATTAATGGAATTAAAATTCTTATCACGCCACGTCATTAGATTTTTATATTTAGTGATAATTTTTTATGGATACGTAACCATTAAAAACTTGTCCATATATATTTATATATAATTACGACAATTCAATTGTTATGATATTTAGTTAAAGGCTAATCTTTTGTTAATAGATTCGTTAGCATTATCACTATTCACTTGCATGCGCCTTGTCTTCTTTATATGCCACTTTTCCTCCTCTTCTTCTTCAAACTTGACCACTTTTAGTCAAAAACAGACAACTTCCTAGAAACAACGTTTGTGTCAAATAATTTTTGCATTCAAATTGTTTGAAGTGCAAATATAGATTAATTATCTTTTCAACAATTCCAAGATGGAAGATGATGATGAACCACAAAAGTCTCCAAAACCAATATGTTGTTTTGGCTTTTCCTCTAAAAGAACAAATGAAAGGAAGGTGATGAAGAACAGTAAGGCTCATGGAATTGAGGAGCCAAATAAGGAGTGGGAAAGGAAGGATGGCATTTTGTCAGATATGAGCACTTTTTCGGTCAAAGAACAAGAACGGAGGCTGAAGATGGCACTGGAAGAGGAAGAGAAGGTTGCTAAGGAGGCAGAGAGGGTTGTCCAACGGATCAAGCAAGAGTCAGCTAGAATGAATGATTCCACTATCAAAAAAATTGTGGCTGATTATGAAGTTCACTAATCATGATTAAGTCACGACCATATATGGATTTTTTTTTTTTTTTTTTTTTTTGCAATTAAAAGAGGGTTTGAAGTTTTTTGCTTTAAGTTGTCCTATGATGAGGTTTTTATAAAAGCTTGTACCTTTTCTTAATTATTAATTGAAAATTATATATGTCTTGACGATGTGAAAAAAATAATAGATGATTTATAACCAAGAAAAATAAGAAACAAAAAATTCACCAGATTTAGGACTGTGCAATGTGTTTTCTCTTTTCCTTTCCATTTTGTAAATGTTGTTTTGTCAGAATTAATGTTCTACCTTAGGGATGATGAATCTACAAATGAAATCATATGTGCGAAGACGCGTCTTAAATAGGACGGGTTAAACCCACTTTAGTCGGGTTCGGGTTGTGAACTGGTTCATGAGCTATGTTTCTCACTACTAATATGGTCGCTGAACCTTTTTTGACATCACCAATAGTCCTTGAAAAAAAGAGTTCATGATCATTGACAATGATGAGAGAACAGAGTTCATTGACCAATGACAACATTAGCACAAACTTATGAATTTTTTTAACATGCTTTTAATGAAAAATTTTGAGTTGCGTATTGAGGTATAGTTTTTCGTTTGATGCCATCAATTCATACATCGAATTAAAAGTGTTGTTGTGTGAGGAAAAAAAACGGACAATTCTGCAGGGTAAGATGCATCTTCAAGGCTGTAAAACTTGATACATCAGCTATAAGGAAAGAAACAAAGACAAACATCATAAACCTTTTCTCTTACCGAATGCTTTTCACTCTCTTTCGACAGTATTTGCTGGATAGAAGAGAAAGAGGGTGAGGAATTTGGAGAGAATACTAGCATGAGAGATGGCTTGTATTGTAAGGCGGGTTCCGAATAATGCAACCTACTTCTAGAACTCAGGGAAACTACTCTCATCATCTGGCCAAGATTAATCCGTATGTCTTCATAGAAAGATCTACCGAAATCTTTTTCGGATGGATACTTATCGTCTTCACAGAACTCGGGCAAAAACAGACGTTGAAACGCGTTTCTCTTCGGTTCAATCTGCTTTGAAACAAATATGCTCTGAAATACCGCTGCGGAGTTGACTTTGTATTCTTACTATCCACTTCCAATCTGTTCCACCAAGAGATCCTCCTCTTATTTCCTTAATGGTATTTATGTTCTCAAGAGTAAGAGGTAGCTTCATGAGAAGATCACAAGCGACAACGTCAACTTGCTCGAGGCTTGGCCATGATTCTTTGGGTCTGCAAAGATTTTTTTTTAGATTGGGAAGGCTCTTCAATTCTAGTATCTGAAGTTTTAGAACAATAAGATATACAGACAAAGGTTTCTTCAAGTGAAATAGCTCCTCTAAGTTGTAACAGAACCTTACCTTGATTGTTTCGGAAGTTGGTAGGGAGAGAATGAAATCCCCCATAAGAAAGAAGACATTTCATATGGGAACACCTGGAAGCTTCAATCGAATTTAGTTTCGAAAATTTAAGCCCAAGATGGCCAAAATGACTGTGAAATGCTTTCTAGACCAGTTAGATTGTCCAAACAAAGTTCCTCGAGATTTCGCAGCAAGTTTTTCTCCTAGATGCAAACTACAATTTGTTATGCATAGTGATCTTAGACCTGCAAAACTACCAATACAGCTTCTATAGGAAGAGCTGATATTGGCAGTAGATTTGGCCAAATCTTGAAGCATTTCGTTTAGTCCCGCATCACAACAATTCAAGACTAAAGAACTCGGGTTCACAATGGACAAACGAATCAATCCCGCAACACAAGGAGTAGATACAGTAACCCTTCTTTCATCATGTCCAGTTAGCATAAAGTGTGCTGCTGTTGGAATTGGATCACAAAAGAATTCAAACCACAAACGAATTCAAATCTGCTTTACTTTATCTATCCACTTTAGATCCTCAGGGCCTAGATGGATAACGAACGTAACTGCTTCAAGAATCCGAGCTCTTCGAAATTCTCCTGTCCCTCTTCAACCTATCCTTTTGCGTGCCACTTGAAGTCACTCCATCTCATATCTAGAATCTCTAAACAAGTCCACTTGGACAAGATTCCAGCTTGAATATTTTAGACGTTTGGTTCATAGATTCAGAATCATAATTCAGAACTATTCTCGTTTTACATGTGTTTTTGTGAGAAAAAATATTGTAGCGAGCCACGAACCATGATTCAAACCATGACACGAATCTCACTTCTAAACGCACACTACGTTTAGGTCTACTCGCCTTAAATTAACAAAGTTCTCCACCTCCTTAGGTAATTCTCTGATTGGCATCGCACACAGGACAAGGAACTGAAGTCTGCAAAGCAAACTCGTTTGAGAGAACTCGATAATTGCGCAACTTGAATCTCGCTCAAAACAATTCCAACAACGAGAAAGAGATTTACATTCATTCATTCTCCAATGACGAAGCAATCCATGTAGCAACATCGCGAACTACATCATGCTTCTTGACAGAACCGGCCTCATGAGCCCCATCTTCTAATAAACCGGAATCTTTTAATGTTTCAATCAGAGCAATTCCATCGTTGATTGAATCCTCATAGTGTTGATGTTCTTTAATCAATCCTTCTGCCAGTGCCAGCTAACACTGTACTAGTTCACTCACTTTGATTGAGAAATGCGTGGGAAACAAAGCACGGTATTAGAAACGAGTATTTATATTGTTACCTTCTAGCGAGTCGCAACTCAACTCTGCATCTGGGAAAGTTTTTTTTTTTTTTTTTTTTTTTTCTTCTATGATTTTGTTTTAATGAATAAAATACATTGAACATTGTGCATTGCCTCAAGTGAAAATAAAGTGCAAAACCAATAAACCAAATTTATAAATAATTTCACCATACAATTTATTGTTTAATGTAGACTATCCATTCTTTTATAAAAAAAATGCCTTCTGAAACCGTCCCTTTTTCCTAAATACGGGACTGTTGACGATAACATAAAGGTAATAGGTAACAAAAAAATATGTTTACATCAGAAAGAAATGTTGCCGTATATCCAAGTAAATTTGAACATGCATGTGCGTCAGACTTCATTCTACAGGTAAAGTTTTGACTTTTTTTAGTCTTTTACATGGAGTTCAGCCGACTCAAATGCCTAACCCATTTTTTTTCCCTTCATTTTCATAAGCTGCCAAGAATATATATATATATATATATATATATATATATACATATATATATTGGATTGTGGTGTCGTTCCGCATATTTTTGGTTTGGCAAATTAGTCAAATTGGTGTACAAAGTCTTCAATCAGACATCGCAATCAGTTTGTTGCCTACAAAAATTAGTAGTAAGACAAGTGAATTTTTTTTTTTGCATTGAATAATTTCTTTTTACGCGGAAGTTAGGAGAAATTCCAATTAAAAATGTTAAAATAGTAAGGTAATGTGAGTATGTCTAATTCCGATTAATAGGCAGGCTTCAAGTAAACTATAATATTAGATCGTCCCACTATTTTTTGTCTTTTGAGTAATCACCACTAAGTCGTATGATATAACAATATATATAAAACTTAACGTTTTCCTTTCTTTGGAGAAATTCTAGCTCTGCAGCTTCATATGCGAAACCACAACCTAATTATGATGTATATATATATATATATTTATAACGCCTCTAATGATGAAAGAAAGTCACAAAATACATGCCACATGAGTCCTCTTTTCCCTCAAAACTAAAAAGCAGCGTGAGAAACGCACTTGGAAATTAAAGAAACAAAAAATTCCAAATCCAAAGCGCACTTGCTTTGCTTCAGTGCGTACCCACCTCCCCCCCACTTTGCTCAACTTTTCAGCAAAATACTTTGAAATTTCCATCCCAATACTCTCCTCATAATCCCTTCATTTCTCTCCAAAATGGCCATGATGAACACCAAACCAAAAAAGGCAATTTCTTCTTCCCACTCCAATCTTTGTACCACACTCTTTTTCATTGTCCTCTTCACAATCCCGGCCCTTTTCCTTCTCCACACCCCCACCACTACCTCAATCTGCACCGCCTTCGCCGCCTCCCACGCCAAGCCATGGTCCGGGGACCTCCTCGCGGCCGAGTTTGCGTGGAACCGCCTCGCCTTCTCCGAGCCAAGCCCCCCTCCTCTCCGCCTCAAGATCGCCGTGTTCTCCCGGAAATGGCCCGCGGGGACCACCCCGGGCGGCATGGAACGCCACGCGCACACCCTACACACCGCGCTCGCCCGCCGCGGCCACGAAGTCCACATCTTCACCTCCCCGCCTCCGTCTCCGCTCCCGCCGCCGAGCGAGGGCGGCGAGAGTCCATTAATGAGTCTACCACTTTTACACTACCACGAAGGCGAGCCCGGGCGGTGGCGGTACAACAAGGCGTGGGAGCAATTCCAGCAACATGAGAACGACCACGGGCATTTCGACGTGGTCCACTCCGAGAGCGTGGCGCTTCCTCATTGGCTGGCGCGTAACGTCGAAAACCTGGCGGTGTCGTGGCACGGCATAGCTCTGGAGAGCTTGCAGTCGGACATCGTCCAAGACCTTACGCGCAAGGCCAACGAGGCCATGTCCCCTGCCTTCAACCAAAGCGTCCGAGGAGTCATTCCAAAGGTACTGAACGAAATAAGGTTCTTCCACAACTATGCTCATCACGTTGCTATAAGCGATAGCTGCGGCGAAATGCTAAGGGACATGTACCAAATCCCCAATAGAAGAGTTCACGTTATTCTCAACGGCGTCGATGAAGATGACTTTGGGGTTGACAAAAAATTAGGTAAAAAATCACGCAATGACGCAAATTGAAATTTAGTTTTTTTTTTTTTTCTAAAGAAATTATTTTTAAAATACTAAAATAATTTATAAATTACTAATGATAATAATTATATTACTTTTGTTATTTGTTAAATCTTTTAATATGACTAGTAGGATGGATTTAGATCTAGAAAAATGCTTGAAGGCATCAATTATTAATAGAAGGTGGATCTTATCTATGGATTTTATATTACTGAATCTTTAGTGGTGTTTCGCTCGGCCGATGCCCATATAATATTGCTCTTAGATTATCTTTATATTCCTATAAATAATGTCTAAGCTGATCATATTATAATACATTATTTAAAAAGTTGAAAATATATTTTAATTGACTTTTATATCTTCTAATGTTTGAATCTAATTGAGACATTAAAATTAGATTGAAAAAAAAAAAAAAATCTCAATCTATAATAAGCTGTATATCTAACCCGGCCTTATTTCAGGTCAAGATTTCAGGTCCAAAATTGGTGTACCAAGAAACGCTAGCTTAGTCCTCGGTGTGGCCGGGAGATTAGTGAAGGACAAAGGCCATCCTCTACTATATGAAGCATTCTCAATTCTTATGCAGAAGAGATCCGACGTGTATCTCATTGTGGCTGGATCGGGCCCGTGGCAGAACCGGTACATGGACATCGGGCCCAATGTCATAGTATTGGGCTCCATGAGCCCATCTGAGCTCCGAGGCTTCTACAACGCCATTGACATTTTTGTGAACCCAACTCTTAGACCACAAGGACTAGACCTTACCCTAATGGAGGCAATGATGAGTGGGAAAGGCGTTATGGCATCAAGATTTGCGAGCATTAAAGGGAGTATTGTGGTTGATGATGAGTTTGGGTTTCTGTTTGCGCCCAACGTGGATTCTTTATTGGAGGCATTGGAAAGGGCTGTGGAAGAAGGGCCCACAAGGCTGGCCCAGCGTGGGAAAGCGTGCCGCAATTACGCGTCTTCCATGTTTACCGCGAGGAAGATGGCATTGGCGTACGAGAGGTTGTTTCTTTGCATTAAAAATGCTTCATTTTGTTCCTACCCTTAGCCATAGATCTTGTCTATACATATATATATAAATACACACATATCTTTTTCACTTTTGACTTTGAGTTATTTTTTGTTATTTTAATTCCTTTATATGGATTGATCTCTCTCCAAAATTTATATAAATCAGTGGTTTGACGCAAGTGCTGTGCACACGTGAATTTGTCAGCTCTTTTATGTAATAATTTAGTCATATATAGTTTTAAATGATTCTAATATCAATTCTTTTAATGGCTTTGTTGTAATTTATTGACCGGAAAGAAAATGGAACAAAAGATTGAAGTGGTTAGCGTATAATAATGAAGTAGATCCGAGAAGGAATCAAAGAAGATCGGCAAGAGAGGAAGAGAAAGTAGAGCCCCTTGCAAGAAGAAAGTAAAATGGCTGTAAAGGGTTTAAATCTCAGAGAAGAAATTAATTGTGTTTTTTTTTTTTTTTTAAGAACCCTTCACGGTGGAGAAGGTTATTTTACTTTACGATGAGAATTATAATTTTTAACTTGAATTAATTTTTTAATGCTCAGATTTGTATACGTCCATACTAAAAAATTACAGCACATGACACAAAATTTTTACTACTAGCTCAGACCATTAAAAAACTTTCAATGACTAAAATATAATTATTGGTGGAACAAAATAGCCTTTAACACAATTACTAGTGAAGTAAAATAGCATTCTTCATCGTAAATGCACCCTTTTTGTTTTTGTTAAATTAATAATGGTTTTTGGTTGTTTGTTTCTTGAGATACCTATATATTTTTCGTTTAACATATTTAGGAAAAACTGTAATTTTTTTATAAGTTATTGTTCTTCTAAATCTAGAATTGACTCATTCAATATAATAATATTTAGGAGTTTGCAGCAACATTTCATTGAAGAGTAACTTGACGGTTTTATTGGTGTCTACAAACAATCTTAAATGCTATTATTGGTTGGATCTAAACTAGATCTCGTGGTTCTAATTTCAAAAAAAAAAAAAAAAAAAAAATCTAGATCTCGTGGTTTTTCCTTAGTTACATGCACTTTTCCGGTTAAACGTTGTAGTATTCTTGATTGATTTACTTGCTTATTATGCATATGCTTGTCTAGTGAAAAAATCTAAGTTCTGGAGTCTATTTTTTATTTTAATTCCACATGACCATATTCTTACATGAAATATACGTTTTTTATTTTCAAAAAAGAAAAAATACGTTTTATATATCTCTTACAATTAAGTTAAAAGCAAATAGTATCTGTAGCTTGGTAAAAAGAAAAAAAATCGCTTTCCTATTATTTCTTTCCTCTCTCTCCAAAATTTAGGGTACAAGAATTAAACTCTTTAATAATTGTAGAGCGAATATTACAAGTAAAAAAGATTCTCTGTACAAGTTAATGCGTCGTCAGGTTGATCAACATAAAATTATTCATCATAACATGTAATCAATTGGGCAATTTGCCACATAGCTAGTACAATTGCGATGTACGTTGATGTTCAAAATGGTCATAGGCATGTCTAGTTCTTAAGAATAACATCAAGCTAGAAGCTAGCCCTAGGACTGATATACAACCCCACCACACAAAAGTTGAGGAATAACACTGCCTTCCCATACACACTGCCGAGTCAGTAATTACATCTCTTAGGCCAGAGCTTCCATTGGCATCATAAACTATGGCGGCAAGAAGGCCGTACACGAGTGAACCTATTGGGATGTTGGTGATGAGGATGTTGTGGTTCACACTTACGCTGTTTGGCCCGAACAGCTCGGAGGTTATGGAGACGGCGGCGGCAAATATGAAGCCCGAGCTCAGCCCGATCAGCGCTGTGCCAACTTGCAGGGCGGCGGCATTGCCCAATGCCGCGAGTAGGAAGAAGGCGAACGGTGTCGGCACAAGTGCAATGGTCAACCATCCTGTCCTTGCAAAATAGAACTTCCTGCGGGAGTTGTAAAATCTTTGTTTGAATATGGTATTGTGATGCAAATAATCACTATATTTAGCTATTCATACTGATCATCAGTGGATCATCACCACTGATTTGCAATTAACTAATTAGACAATTTATTACAAACAATAATTTAACATGTTTTAATATATAATACCCTGGATACTTAGGCATCGTTCATTTCACTAATTTAAGTTTTTAGTTTTAGGTTTCTACAGCTCTCAAAAAATATTACATCTAATTTTTTCTGCTACAGTTAAAAGCTTTAAAAAAATATCATATCTCAACTCGAATCCGCAAAACGAACAAAGCCTTAATTTTTTATAACAATTCTGTTGTTATTATTAATTTATTGATAGTCGCCTAAACATTGTCATATCAATAATAATAAAATATTACCAATAAAAATATGATGAGTCTAAGCGATACAAGAGATTGAAAGTATAATTGCGTTCGTAGTAATATTTTTTAATATTTAAGATAGTAATTGTGTTACAAGAAATTTATCTATGATCATGTCACTTCTGCAAATGTTACAAAAGATGAGAGGACCGGAAAAAATGTCTATTTTGATTATTTAAAAGAAGATCTTAGGAAATGTTTTCATGTACTCTTTACACTTCTTTTTTTTTTTACTGGTAAATGGAGAATTTATTAAAGCCTAAGATTCAAAGGGATAAATTAGCGAATTAGTGGAGTATTATATAAATTATGGGCCATTTTAAATTATGAGATATTTATTTGGTCTTAGCCACTAATCTACTAATTCCATAAAATAAAGGATATTAAAAAGTAAATCAATATAAAAAGAAAATATGAATGTCTTTCAAAAAAAAGTAATTGCAAAAAGTTTCAAATTTACTTACGCGCGTACGTAGTCTGGTGCAGCTGAAAGTAGCCGGCCGAAGAAGGAGAAGGATGAATAAAGCGTGACGAGCGCCGTCGTTTTGGAACCATGTCCCAGCGACTGCGCAATTTGCCCCAAATTGTTGCTGTAAACAAGGCCAATCGTACCCCCACAGAAATAAGCCACAAAGTACAACCAAAAATCCAATCTCCGAACAAGATCCCGAGCCGAATGCTCTTCTCCGAGCATTGCCAGCCGATCTTTCCCGATCATCGTCTCGCAGCACCCTTCGCTAATTTTTGCACTACTATAAGTAGTGCTGCTATTTTTCAATAACCCCAATACACCCACACTCTCGCTCAGCAAGGGACTATCAAGTACCGATCCATTCCCATTAGCACTACTAGCCGCCTCGCGGGTGATCATCAGCTCCTTGTGGAGCTCAAGATCATCTACATCCACGAGAATAAACCCCGAGCCGCCGTCGAGGCTGAAGCTCGAGTTTACGGCGCGGTAGAACCAGTCGCGAGCGTAGACGACACCGGGGATGCACAAGGGAAAGATGAGGAGGAAGATGGAGCCGCCGAAGAGGAGACGGGCGGTCGAGGCGGGGTCGGAGGGTTTTGAGCCGAAGAGGAGGAGGTAGAGGCCGGTGAGGACGGCTAAGACGTTGAGGATGAGGAAGATTAGGGAGTCGCGGCGGACGCCGTCGGGCGGGAGGGGGTCGAGGGGGGGCTGGCGGAGGATCGGGATCAGGGCGGCGAAGGAGGCGACGAGAGGAATGAAGGCGTTCAAGATGAGGTACAAGGGAGGGGATGAAGGGTTGATTGCGTTGGCGGCGAGAGTGTAGAGGGCTGCACTTACGCCGTTGAAGCTTACGGTTAGTGATATGGCGAGAGGTTGGTTGGATGGGAAATTCCTAATGCAAAGAACGAAACAAACTGTGTTGAACCAACATATGCTACAACCGGCCAGCAGGCATAGAAGAAACACCTGAAACAAAGTTCCACAATAAACTATATATAATTTTATTTTTATTTATTATTCTTTCTTTACGGAAATGAATATTAAAAAGCAGATACAATCTACGATGGAATAACTTCAAACCTACACTATGTGTGTGTGTATATATATATATATATATATATATTTTCTATCCGAATAGCATGTAGGAATAAATCTTGTGTTGTATAAGAAACTAACACAAAAATATGAGATGCTTAAATCAAACATCTGATAAAGATAATGTATGCACTTTAATTGATTATATGATCAGGTCCTCTTTTGTTATAATTCTCGTACATATCTGGAATGTTTGCAATGTTTTCAAAGTTGATTTAACAAGAAGTTCAGTTCTAACAAGGCAAAAAAAAAAAAAAAAAAAAAAAAAAATCCCCACAAGTTATCACTATTACTATATATTTTTCATAAACTAACATAGGCAATAGACAATAATATTGACATATAATTAAAATTAACAGCCCCTTTAAAATTCTATAGCCTTGTGTCTGTTGCTAATGATCTTATCTCTGAAATAACGGGGTAAGGGCACATATACCACTTGTATTAATTAAAATGGAAACAATCATCTCCAAAACGAGGAAGTTACGGTGACAATGGGATCTTGATTTTAGTAACAATAACTAAAATGGGGACATAAGAGCCGAATTCCAAAATGACCATATATCATTCATTTCTATTTCATAAATAATAATAATAATAATAATAATAATAATAATAATAATAATAACAAATTAGGACAACCAAACTTGCTAGCTAGCAAGTAAAACCAAAACAAAAAAGGTAAAACAAAAATCAATCTTCGACAAATTTAAGAAGTCACCAAGAAGATCAAGTATTGTCAAGCCTTTCCCTATATAGGACATAAATAAGGCATTAGGCATGTCTTATATATGCATAACGTAAATAAGACATGTGGGTGATACGAAGTTTCTTCTGCATAAATTTCGTTCATGTGCAAACAGGTATTTCTCCCTTTATATGCCACCAGTTTAATAATGAGTATTGCAACAGAATCGTACCTTTTTCTAGGCTTCTAGTCGATACTCAAAAGAAGAAGAAAATGGAAATTTCGAACACTTTTTTTTTTTTTTTTTTGTGGAATTTAAAAGTGCTTCTTATAGTTCTAAGGTTGAGTTGACTCAGAATTTGTTTTTTCCTTCATAGTAAACTTAGAATTTCGATTATTAAATATTGGGTTTTTCTCCCTTTTTATTAATGTAATCAATATTGAGCCATTCTTAATCTCACAATGTTATATCGTTGTCAAATTACCTCACTTTTAAGTTTTTTTCAACAGAAATAAATAACTAATATAAATAGGAGTTGTACTATATTATGAAAATACACTATCATACGATACGATACGGTTTTTTGGTATATTAAAAACTCCATAAAAAAAAACTACTTTCGTTTATTAAATATTGGGTCATTTTCTCCCTTTACATTGTGATAAATATTGGGTTATTTTCAATTTCAAAAAGTTAGATCGTTGTCATATCGTACCTCACTTTAAGTTTTTCTTCAACAGAAATAATAGGAGTTGTACTAGAGTATGAAAATAACTCTATCATACTATACCGTTTTTGGATATATTAAAAACTCCATAAAAAAAACTAACACTTGTAGATCACACTGTTAAAATTTAATCAAATGGCTAAGAAAACATAGCTCAATGATAGAAAGAAACATTAACGTGCCCTACCCAGGCTACCATAAAATTTTTCTTAAAAGGAAATTGATATCAGAATCTTTAGAAAAAAGTATCACTAAATTATTATATAAAACCTGACAAGCGCTCTTGCATAATAACACTGGCCTCAATTAGTAATTTATAGAGGGTTATTTACCTTTTAGTTTATTTAGAAAGTTTTTGCATTTTGCAGTTCCAAATATTTTTATACTATCAAATTACATTTAATACACAAATTAACACATTTTCTTGATCAACAATAGATTTTGATCTCATTGATACACAAATACCCTTGAAAGGAAAAGATTAGGACATTAAAAAATAAAAATTAAAAAAAATTAAAAAGAAGAAAAAGAAAAACAAACCCAAATTTTTTCCTTCCTATAGCCCAAATTTAGAATTTATTAATAATTAAAAAATAAAATAAAATGTAGCTTGGAAGTTCTAGAAGCCGGTCGAACGCAGTGTAAAAGGCAAGTACAAAAAGGATGGCGACGTTGGGCCCCACACAAACGTACAAATAGCGTAGAAAATATGAAGTGAAGATATACTGGGACGTGTGTGGTGAGCAAATTGTTTCAAATTGGTTTCGATGAACCTTTTAGCAAATTAACTTTATTATCTCTTCCACGAATTTGCTAATTCAAGTTATGTATTAAACTCTTTTTGTTTCGAGAATAGTAAGGAATGGTTGGCTTGCCACTACCAAATAATAAGAACGTGAAGGAAAAAAAAGTTTGTAAATTGTTTTTTTTTTTTTTTGGTCATGACGTCTACCAGTAAAGAAGAAAAGTAAAAGCAGCGGAGAACAAAAAAAAAAAAAAAAAAAAAGGTTAAGATTTTCTTTTCATCTCTTAATTTTATTGTCAAGAACACCTTTGCCTTTTATACTTTTTTCACTTTTTCCCTCAGATATGGGGAATAGAAGAAACAAATAAAAAAGCGATGCCGTGAAACACAAAATGCGCACAAATGAATTTGCAAAGAAAAATTAAGTTAAAAACAAATTTCGGCCCCTGATTATTAGAGGTACAACTAAAAAAGCCAAATATAGAAACACTAATACCATGTAGCAAAAAAAAAAAAAAAAAGATTAAACTAATGAAAAATAACGAATTTGGCTATGTTACCTATAAATTGTAATGAAATGAAACACCCCCAAAATAGAAAAACCAAACCAAACAATCACAAATTTCTTAAGATAAACATTATGTTTATGTAAATTAAATTGGAAAAGAGAAATAATTAGCATATACTAACCAGGAAATAAGGCAAGGAAATGAGTTGAGTGATGACAAGCCATTGAATTCCATATCCAAGGAACCCCATAAACGCAGCCATAAATAAAACGACGTACAAGGGAAAGTACATCAAAGCCAAGCCGGACGACCACCCCAAGACCTTGCCCATGTCGGAGGCGACGGCCAAGTAGTTGAGCTGAACCTGCGATATCCCGAGCACCGATTTCAGCGCCGACGAGTACGCCGAGAAGTCGAAGTTGGTCCCCGTGAACGCCTGAATCCATATCGTCGCCACCAGAATCATCCACTTCCGTGACTGCCCCGCCATCGCCTAATAATATATTTTTTTTCGGGGACGAGCGATACGATCGCCGCCAGGTGACGACGGCGACGGCGACGGCGATGGGGCTGAGTGGCTTTTGATAGTGCTGAGTTTATGGGAGGAAGAACAAGTCTGCGCGGCCTTATTTATATTCACGAATACATCATCTCAATTATGAGATTGACGTTTCTTTGTCATTTAGTCGTTTTTCTCTTTTTTCCGTTTACAATTTCCTTTTTTTTATATATATATAAATGTCAGCCCACTAGTATTTCGAGTTCTATTGGCTGATATATTTTTTTTTAAGGTTGTTGCAGTAAATTATTCTCAAATTCAATTAAATATTGCAAAGTGTTTTAGAATTGATTGCGACTATTAAAATTTAGATTGAAAATGCTTTCATTCAAGTGATTTTTTATTGTATTACGTGAGTTGGTTTGAAAGATAAAAATAAAGTTTGGATCAAACTCATCTGCTGAGTTTTAGGATCATTTTCTCTTTTTTTAACTTTAAAAAATTCTAATTTATCTCAAATTTTAAATTAATCCAATTTAATCAATTTTATTAGAATTTTCATTAAAAACAAATATAAAAGGACCACATAAATGCACTTATTTCCCCCTGTTTTGTATGTTTTAAACATAAATAGTAACTAATAAAATTAAGTGAGATTAATTTAAAGTTTAAAAATTAAAGTAAGATATTTTACCTAAAACTTAGGAGCACACGTAAAAATAACCTATAAACTTTGAAATAACAATCGAAGCAGCTAAATGTCTTCAATAATTGGAATACGTAATATTGTGTGTGAGAATAATTTTTTTTTATAAATTCTAACATCATTCATCACTTTTATTGTAATATTTCAAAGAATAGTTACTACAATTATAGTCAAAAAGTACAGGAGATCAAGTGCATAATTTAATAATTTGTATATGAGTTGATGGTGAAGTGTGGTTATGTTTGAGGACGAATTTGCTCTGCACCAGTGATTTGAAGTTAGATTTTGAGATATGTGGAGATGTGGGTCTTTTAGTGAAATATTGAAGTTTGAGAAAAATGTTAATAAGACACAATCAGCATAGAGAGTGGAAAGTGTAATTTCTTAAATTTTTTTTAAAAAAAAATATTAACATCACTTTTTTTTACTTTTTATATTTATTATTTAACACGTGAATTATAATAAATACGGAGAGAGATAAAAAGAGTGATAAAAATAATGATGGGGACAGCATTTCTCAACTTATCTACTTAAATCTTTTGTTGTGAAAATCCAATAAAGGAAAGAGCGTAGAACCGGTGGTCACGTGGCAGCATTTGGGAGGAGCATTAGAATCCAATGTTAACAAATGGCATATGATATAACTGAACGTTCAATTCAATGTAGCCGTAGGTAACTTTCTTTTTGGTCCCTTCTGGAAGGATTTTATTTATTTATTTATTTATTTATTTATTTTCTATAAGGTGAAGGTGAATTGCGAAAATGCATTATCGCCATGTTATGACGCTTCCTCGTCAAAACTAAAGTTTAATTGAGGCATGCATAACAACCGAATAATTAAAGCTATATAAAAAAAAGTACCAATATATTAGCAAATAATAATAACAATAATAATATTAATAATAAGTACCAATAATTGAAACAGTTAAATACCACTAACTAATGGGTTGATGTAACATAAAGATTTTCTTTTTAGAAAATCAGTTGTGACCCGTTTTTTAAATTGCGATAGTAAATGAGTCGCTTAGTGTAAAAATAAGTCGATACTAGTTTATCATGTAAATATTTTATTTACGATTACAATTTTTTTTTCCACATAACTTTTATTTTTACTACTAATAAAAAGAATTTTCTCTACATAAATAAAAAAAATTTTATCAACAACAAAATAAATTATTTACTGTTATTTACTTTAAATAATTTTAAAATATACTATTAATTACTTAATTTAGTTCTATAAATATGTTATCTAGTAGTACAATTCCCAAAACAGGGAGAGTATTAATCCTGCATATCTTTATAGGCCTTTTTCAAACTTTTTGCCTAAAGCCTTGTTTTGTCTTGATAAGCCCAATTAACGATTTTGGCAGACATTATTGAAATTAGGTCAAGAAGTCGTACGTGGTCTGGCAATAGAAATAAAATAAAAGCAACTTAATTTAAATCTCGCAATATACAAAGGCTAGTACGACAAATCAGAAAATTAATTGGCATTGCATATAATAGGACACTTCACATTAATTAACGTTCTTGCAAGATTCTAATAATCAACCTTTTGTGTAAAATAAGAACTAAACAAGTTGCCAACTTAGATTCGACTTCAACAATTTTTGTAGTTGCCACATGTTTGATGTTTCAAAAGCCACCGAAATGGATCGGCAATATTTGTGATCACACATGACCAATAAGGTTTTTGTCTACAACTAATACATATTTGGCTCTGATTGAGGAAAGAAATGTCAATCAATGACTGAATCCCATGGGATCAATATTAAATAATTAGTATCCTGTATTCAAGTTAATATTGGCTAAAGAAAACGTATCTACTTTTTAAAGAATAAAGCTTTGTTTATACATATATAGCTAATCATGACCAGCATGAGACATTATAAATTAAACCGGGAGCTGAAAATTGCTCCTAAAGCCCCATGTGCTTGTGAACCTGCAAACGCAGGATTTTGGTTTACTTTCATGATCTATATATATATATATATATATAAAGCAGATTTATAATCTTATTGCATATATATACACATACACTAATGATGATAAACGTTCCGTGTAAATAAATCCTATATATTTTTAAATGATTAGTCCTTTGCGCGCGTGCATGCACACATATATTTATTATATAAATATATATATATATATTAGTGATGATGCACGTCCGCACGTTCAAATAAATCCTATTTATTTTTTAAAATTATTACTACTTCCTTTGAATATATATATATATATATATATGTATGTATGTATAATGTTTTAAGTTCGATAGTTAGATCAACCCAGCAAATGTAACTTTTTTGACATTACTGTATAACGTCATTCTTTTACACGTGTAATACTCAGTTCACTTAAGTGTAATATTCAAAAATTATGTATATAAACACGTAAACAAACCGAATATTACACACACATGAACAATGTTATACAAAAATTTTTAAAAAGGTTACATTTGTCGCATTGCAGACTCCAGGACTTAAGACATTGTCTCTCTCTCTATATATAGAGGTATGATGAATATTATTATTTTAGTCATAATATTAATCTAACGGTTTTAATAATTTAAATAGTTGGCTAAAAATATTAATGATAATTAATGAAATTATGTTCTTATTGCGTCACGTTATCAAATTTGTATATTTAGAGGTGGTCACGATGAAAACGTAACTATTAAAAACTCGTCAATATATATACACACTAGTGATTTATGTATGTACTTTGCATACATGTATATATATATATATGGGAGCTTTTAATGATTACGTTTTTACTTATTAAATATATAAATTTGATGATATAACATGATAAAAAAAAACTAATCTCATTAATTATCATATAGTTTTTTGGTCAACTATCTAATTTATTATAATTATCTGATCAATATCTTACGGTTAAAACAATGATATCTATTGATTGATAATATTAGAGTAACTATTAAAACACACCTATTTACATGTAAAGACTAATTGAATAAAGAATTCACAAAATCTAATAAAATAAAAAGGAAAAGAAGAATGAATCAATGAAATGTTGCTTGATCTTCTTTGGGAACTTGAGTCAGAAGTAGATCTTTGGGTTTTATAAATTACTAGTTTAGCTATGTGTGTTGCACATATAAAGTTGCAATTAAAATTTTAATAACGTAGAATAGAAAAAATTTAACATAGAAAAAAATTACTAAGAAATTTAAAGAATATATAAATAGTAGTCTAAGTGAAAAGTTTATATGATTAAATTGATGAAATATTCTAAATCATAAGATAACAAAATAATTGAAAAAAAAATAAGCACAGGCAAGGAGATAACTCTTCTGAGAAAGTTTAGATTTGAGGTTCAAAAAATCAAAGAGAGAGAATGAGAGTAAAAAGGAACAAAAAAGAAAAATTTAGGAGAAAATTAGTGCACGTAACTGTGGATGACAAATGGTGTCAAAAAGAAAGAGAGGAAAAAAAAAGCGAAAAGAAAGTAAAGTAAAAATTCTGTTCGTAAGAGATATTCGTAGACAAATGGAGTTAAAACAAAATGAAAGAAGAAAATTAAAATAGAAAGAAATAAAATAAAAGATAAAATAATGGATTTAGAAAGAATGAAAAAGATTAAAAAAATATGAGTGGGGCAAAATGAAAGTAAGAAAAAAAACGATGGGTAAAATACCAAACGGTGCATATTAGATGACGAAGGGTGAATGATATGCCTCAAGGGTTATTTGCACACATTAAATAGTAATTGAGGTTTTTTTTAACATATATAATGAATAAAAAGAACGAATATAAAAAAAATTACTTGAAAATTCAATCGCACAAATAGTTTTTGATAATAAATTTATTATTTTTAGACCAAAAATAACATAAGTAAAGTATAACATGTTAGAGCTTTATAAGGGATTAAATAGCAAAAGAAACAAATATATCAATAAAAAGGGGGAAAATATTTGGACTGGTGACATATTTTGACTTTGTATTTCAGATACTTTTTTCCTCAAAACTTGTTTTTTTTTATTGCTTTATCATTTTGAAACCCTTACATATTATTATTGTGTTACATTTATTTTAAAAATAGACAATTTATTAATTAAGGAGTCAAAATTATATATTTCATTGACTGAGTAAAATTTTTATTTAGTTTTTTTTTTTGTTCAAAAAACCCCAAAAGTATAGAGACACATACCCCCACAGACAAATAACTCGATACTCATGAAAGTAATAAATAGTGAAACGACAAAATAAATCAATATATAAATAACCATAATTGAAGTTATAATTGATCATAATTAAAGAGATTATTTTGGTGAAAATTGTTGAGATTAAAAGTTTAAGAAATCTATGAGAAAGCGATAAAGTTTAAATGTAGAAAAAATAAAAATAGAATAAAAAAGGTAAGAGAGTATTGGGGATAAGAGATTACAGTAAAATAGATAATAAAGCTAAAAAAAAAAAAAAGGAAAGAAAAAAATGAAGCGTCGAAAAAGGAAAAAAAAGAAAGAAAAGAAAAGGTAAGAAAATCATTTGTAAAGTACAATAGTGGACAAATTGAGTTAAAAGATGAGTAAAAAAAGGTAAAACAAAAAACGATTGAGTTAAAAAGAAATAAAAATTTAAACGATTTTAAGGGTAAACTATAGTAGACAAATAGAGCCGAAAATAAGGGGAAAATAATACAAGAGAAAGAAAGGGAAAAAAGGTTAAAAAAAATTAACAAAAGAAAGAAAGGAAAAAAGTATAAAAAAATAATAATAATAATAATAATAATCAAAGCTTTTGGACGACCAAAACGCACAGTGACAATGTTTTGTACTATTAAAAGTTAGATTAGATTAGAAAAGGGGCTAAACCCATACTCATGTGCTTTTATACATGTTGTGGTTGATTGTCTGTTCATTTCATTATGGCCGACCAAATCCTCTCTGAATTTTAACATAATGAACTGCAGTCCTTCAAGTAATTAAAAAATGGAGGAAAATAACTCCTCCGTCATTTTTCATCCAAAATTTGAACAAAACTTGGTCGTGTGCAACTAAGTGAGGATGAAGCGAGGGGCAATGTGGTAATTCCCGTATCAAGAAGTAGATTTTAGTTTCCACTTTCTAACCATGTTTTCTTGACATCAAACTCTACCAAGTTGACATATGATTTTGCAACGCCAAAATTGAAACCAAGACTAGCCATATGTATTTTCGGTTGGCTAGCTAGTTACTTTGTTGATGTGGCCGGAGATCTTGTTGAGTTGTGGAGGCGCCTTCGGCAGGACCTCCAGCAGGGTGCGGGATCCATTAGGCTTAAAGAGACAAAAAGAGACATTAAAGATCCCCCTTTGTTGCCAAGTAGCCATGATAATCTGCTAAACAAGTAACCAATCCAAAATGAATAAAGTGGGATCGAAAATTGGTGGGAAACGTACTTCTATGTGACTAAATGAGAAGGAACTAATAGAATAATTGTGTATTAAAAATAGTTCAACGACACTCATTATTTTTATAATACGTTTTATTTCTGTTAAAAATCTTAATATAAGGAGTTTTTTTTTGCATTTTATGGAAATTTTCCACTAAAAATTTAATTGAGGGGGAAAATTTGCAACACTTGTTAAAGATCGGGGAGGAAACAAGTTAAAATTAAAGTTCAGGGACATTTTGTGACCATGCCTATAGTTCGAGAGAAAACGTGTAATTTATCTTAAAAAGTAACCCAAAACTTTTGAATCTGAATTTTTACCTTTTACTCTTGAGAGTGCATAGTTCTAAATTTTTACCTTTTATTATTAATACCTTTTTAACTAAATCAAGAGTAAGGAGTAAAAATTCAAATCCATACACTCTTAAGTAGTATTTGTCTTGTTTTCCCACATAAATTTGCAATTCCATATCAACGTAACTTTCCCAAACAAAAAGAATTCCTGAAGAAATTTATGACTGCAAATTGAAATTAGAAGGTATTCCCTTGTAAGTTATAACAAGGGATTGTAATTGATTGTAACTAAGAGCCTATCCTTATTTTGTATTGGTCAAATTAAATTGATAAATCATGTGCATTAAGTCACCAAATGCAATGGTAAAGTGAGTAAGAGAGATCTCGCGCATGCCAACATCACAAGGCATGGGCTTTCACACTGGTAGAACGGTTTGTGCAACAGGTCCAGGTAAAAAGATGGAGAGAATAAATTCGGTTTTTATTAATTTTGTCCTTAATAATTATAATTTATTCTCTCTCAAATCATATTTTTTTTAATTCTTTAAATTAGTGTACCGAAGCAAGAAAGTAGCTAACATTTTGAAGTTAAGAAGAGAATTTGGAAGCAAAATGAAAATTAAAAAAATAATAATAATAAAAACAAAAGGACTCAAAAGAGAATTTGTAAAATGCCCCCTTTTCTAAATCATACCAAATCAATAATACACTTGAAAACACCGGTGTTGCCATTGAATTGCGGCTCCGAAACTCGCGGCAGCACAAGAAAAATCAAAGATAGAGAACGGGAGAGATTGGAAAAACACGCCATCGCTAGAGAAGAAAAAGAGAAACTGAGTTTGACCGAAAGGCCAAAATAACATTCTCTATCACCAATGTCAAAAGAGTGGACACACAATAAACGAAGTTGCCAAAGGCTATATTAGTTGTGCATTGTAGCATCTCCTCCCACAAAGCTAGGATTCTAACTTGGTCATATCACATATCAGCAGCAACAGAAATTCAGTCAGAGTAGAATTCAAAATCAGACTGCGATTCCAATTAGAGCTGATTCTACGTGACAAAATAAAAAAAAAAACTGAAACCTAGCTATGTACAAATTGGTCTTCTACAGCTGGGCATAAAAGCAGGAGATCTCCATCCGGAATAATTAAATCTTTGTTAAAAAAAATTAAATCATGATTTCATTTGATTATATTTAACAAAATCAGGCTGTTGACAAGAACGTCAACCATTGAACCAATGCTTTAGCTAAAGATTCTACTTCCCCATATGCCTACCAGCAGAATGGAGCCGCCCTTTTGTGTCGAGCAATCTATCGCCAGGAAGAAAAGCCAAAAAGGCATATGAAAACCATTCACATTCCCCAAAAATACTCCGTTTCCATAGAGGATGTAGGGTTCCTAGATAGGCACCTGATTTGGGTGTAGTTGGCTCTTTTTGCATCTTCTAGATACTGTTAAAAGATGCAAAAAAAAAAAGAACCAAGGGCGTTGATGTTAGCATATGCATAATCATAAAAGAGTATTTTCTTATTTTCTTCCTTCGTTTCGGTACAAAAGAAACGGTATAAGAAAACTAATGTACAAGCATGCAAAACAACTATCAGTAGGTCCCTTGTTATTTGTAAGAAACATAAGAAAAACCAGAAGAAACTAAAAGGAGAGAAATTCTTGCAAAACAAAGAAAACAAACCACAGCCACTACAGAAAGAGAGAAACTAAAATTACTTTTCTAACTCAACAAATCAGAGATAAATATCCAAGAAGAAAACCCATAGTTCATTCTCTACCAAAGAAAAGAAAGATGCTTCCTCGACCAGATCAAAATAAGAATAGTGTTGTCACCCATCGTGGTAATAACATTGAATTTTCATCAACAATATAGTGTATTCAAAGTTTTATGACACATGGGAAAACAAGCAACTGAAAGGATATTTTCAGCAGACCTAGTAAATTTTAGCCAAACATCCAATGTTTGTTTAAAAGATTTAAACAAACGCTCGTGCCAAAGTATTCCCCATAATAGTTTCCCAGATCATTATTCTTCTGTGAAATAAAGTCGCTTGCAACCACTGCATGTACGTAGCAGTCTTTTAAACGCTAAGCTGATTGTTTCTATATCCTTTTTATTTTAAGATTTCCTTCAGATTTTTTTAGTACATGATAAGTTGCTTTGTCTATTGAGAACTGAAATACCAAATTTTGAGCCCGTTCCTTTTGTCATTTGGATAAATCAAATTTTAAGGGTTGTTCATTCTAGTACTTGTTTTTTCATTTGTGAATAATTGTCCGGGCTGATAAAGATAATAAATAGTAATATTCAGGTCCAAGTATGGTTGTTTAAATATAAAACATTCGTCAGTATGTGAATTTCCTTAATGTAGAACCTTATCAACCCCCAACAGCCTGACATGAAAGCCTACACTAGCAAAGCAATAAAACCGACTTCAATTTGTATCTTCACCTATCAATCCATCACTTATGTGATTTATACTCTAAATGTTCCAATAACAATAGTTAGATTTCAGTAAACCAATAAAGAAATGACTAGAAAATTTAAAAGCAAAAATAAATTTATAAAGTAATAAATTAATAAATAAACAAAGAAACCAGGTGATATGATTTTTGTTTTTCCTAGAAAGAAACCCGATTGATGAACTTAAAAGACTTACACGAAATCAACCAATCAGTTCTATCTATCATTCAATTTCACAAAAACACACGTAAATCTTTATAAAATATAAATTAAAAAAACACAACAAAACAAAAAGCATACCCAATGATCTAACGCTGGATGTTAAGCATCTGCTTGGCCTCGCTCTGCTCTTCCAACAACCCCTCACTGACATACTTGCTCAAAAGCTCCATCTTCTTCTTCTGCAGCACCATCTTCTCAATCTCCTTCTCGTCCGGCAACGGCACATGCACCACGAACTCCCTCTCCTTCTCACTCCTCTCCTTCAACTCCTTTTCCCTCTCCCTCTTTCTCTCCTCCTCCACCACGTCCTCCTCCTCCTCAAACAACACCTCCTTCGCCACCATAACCACCTCCCCACTCTTCACCGACCGCCTCGCCTCCTTCCTTATCTCCTCCATCCTCCGCCACTCCGCCACAGCCTCCGCCCTCATCTTCTCCTCCGCCGGCCCCTCCAACCTCTCCAGAATCCCATCCTCATCATCCCTATACCCATAATAGCTCGCATCAATTCTCTTATAAATGTCGTACCGCGTTCGTCGCTTCCGCAACTCCAGTGGCTTCTCGAAGAGCTCCCGTACACCAGGAAGCTTCTTTGCCGCACCGAAGTAGCGGTACCCAGGGCCTCGGCCGCTTGGGTTCGGGACGTCGACAATATTGCCCTCGAGATCAGTCATCTTGGCGGCGTGTTTGGTGTAATTGGGCCCGCCGAGCTCCACAATCCGCCGCTCCCAGTGGGATTTCTCCCTTATGAGCTTGTTGATCTCGTCGTTGAGGTCGCGGAGGCGGTGCTCACCGAGCCCTTCGTTTTGGATCTCAGCGACCTTCTGGCCGATCTCGCGCATGATTTGCTGCCGCCACTTGTCGGCCTCAGCGAGGTCCCGGCATTCGGAGGCCAAAAAAGGGCGGCGTTCCTTCGGCTTCTTCTTCTCCTCCGCCTTCATGGTGATGAAGCGGTTGAGCATCGACTGTGCCTTCTCCTCGTTCCGAGCCATTGTAACGCTTCTTTCTCGTGGAAATTCAAAACCCTAGTTTTGAGATGTATACATTAACAAAACTAAAGGAAATCGATACTTATAGCTCAATTCAAACAAAACAACACAAAAAAACAAATTCACAATCTTGAAACCTAGTTCTTAGAGCAAGGGGACATCGTACCTGGTGAAGATAAGGGTAGAACGGCCGGCGATGTAGGCGGCGAAGCGAAGACAACGACAAGCGCGAGATGTGGTGGGAAGACTGAGAGGAGAGAAGAGGAAATTAGGGGCGCGTTTGGAACCCGTTCCAAAATAATTTTATTTTCGGTATGAAAGTGAAAATGAAAACGTTTTCAATCTCAGACCGGAATCGTTTCCGAAAATGCGTTTGGTAGTTTTATTCAGAGATTATTTTGAAAAAACTGAAACTCCGTTTGGTTTAATATTTTTGAAAACATGTAATAGCATTCATACCTAATCAAATTTTGTTTAGCTTTTCCTTTCTCTTTGGTTCTTTTTCAATTGAACAAGGCATTATGATAAAACTATTTAATCAAGGCCTCAAGTCCTGTTACACAAACCGTAAACCAACTATTTCCACTCTTAGCATGTCTAGTCTTGGAACCTACCAGCTCTTACTATTTGGGTTATATCTCTTTTCTAATGTTAGTTAGATCCCTGAATGGTTTGTAATGTGATTCTTTCAATTTTTTTCGTACCTTACAAACACAACGACTGGAAATATACAAAACAGAAACAGTTAGCTAAAAACCAAATCAACCAGAGAATAAGCTAAACACCTTCAAGAGTAAACCAAATTACCAGTATTGAAACCCATACCTCGGTTGATTTGGGAGGAGCCGCGGAGGTTCGTCGACGAAGTGAACAAAAAAAAAACCTTCCAACACCTTCACCTTCCACAAATCAATTGTCAGATCAATTTGAAGCCCTAACCAAAAACCCAAATAGGCTGCAAGAGATATTCAGAAACAGAGCAAGTGAATCCTACCTTAGATTCCACAAATGTTGAGAAAGATCTTCAAATTTCCTTGAATCCTTCTAAAATTAGTAATGCTAATGACATATGAAGTGGAAACCCTCTGGTTGAGCTTCGATTTGAGTCTCTCAGGGAGAAAGGAGACAAAAATCGTGGGAGTTAGAGAGAGAGAGAGGAGGAGAACGTGAGAGAGTGAGGGATAGAGAGAGATGGCTGAAAGAAGAGAACGGCAAGAGGGAGAGAAGAGAACGGCGAGAGGGAGAGAAGAGAACGGCGAAGAGGGAGATCTGAGGGAACTTGACTACTTGAGGGTATGTAGCAAACGCGCCCTAGATTATTTGTTAGGGCTTCAGAATTTGGGATCTCTCGAATTCGAAAGGAAAGGGTAACAGAGGGAACTTGACTACTTGAGGGTATGCAGCAATATTCCAGTTAACTGTTATTGACTACAATTTTATATGTTTTTTTTTTTTTTACAAGCAAAATATATATATATATATATTATGTTTTTTTAATCCATTCTAAATAATAATAATAATAATAATAATAATAATAATAATCATTCCTGAAAAAATAAATTATTGATAGTTTCTTATTTTTCAGTCGTTAGATCTATATTAAAATTTATTTATTCTATATTTTTTTTAACCTGGTGTATTTTAATCAGATTTAACTGTTAAAAACTGAAATTACCGGTAGAACGACCTATCAAACAAATTCCCAATAATAATAATAATAATAATAATAATAGACTTTCCTAATAGTAATAATAATATTATTATTATTATTATTTTATAATTGACATAAGTGATCTCTAAACTCTTTAATTAGTGACAATTTAATCTTTTATCTTTTAATTTTGACAATTAAATTCATGAATTTTGATTTTAGTAGCAAATCAAATCCAATTTATCACTGTTGTCATTTATCTTTTAATTTTGACAATTAAATTCCTAAATTTTAAATTTAGTAGCAAATCAAGTCCAAATAAAGCTGTTGTCAAATTTGAGGCGAAAACGTGCACACATATATAATATATATATATATATATCTAACTATTTTAATTTCCACATTATTGAGGGTCTAAGAACTAACTGGCCCGTTTTGTTCGCTAATTCGAGTTGAGATGTGATATTGTGTGAGAGTTTTTTACTGTAGCAAAAAAGTTAGATGTGACTGTTTCTGAGAGCTATTTATTATAGCAAAACTCGAATTCTAAACTCAAATCAGCAAAATGAACAAGGCCATATCTTTCTTAAAAAAACAAAAAGGCAAAATAAGAGTAAAAATTGCATATCAAGTAACTTCTATGTTTCGTTTATGTCACGGTAAAACATAAGGTATAGTGGAAAATGGAAATATATAAAAAGCCTTCACCAAAATTTTATCACCCCGATTTATTTCCTCCACTCATCTAATCACCAATGAGGAGCGACGGGATCACGACGGCTATCTACAACGTTTTTGCCCTCTTCTCGGTTATTTTCTCTCTCAATTGTTCTTAGGGTTTTTCTTTTAAAAATGCTGGTTATTAATTTTTTTGAGAGTTAATTTAGTAAATTCGGCTAAAATAAACACTCATATGCATGACTTGCCTTTGAACGTCGGCTATTTAACGGCAGCTATTCATTGAACGACATTTGCTACTGAATTGAAAGTTTAAGGACTCAATTGTTAAAATTAAACAATTAAGGACTAAATTGTCACTACAAAAAGAGGTCAGGACTATTTGTACCAACTACTCTTTTAATTTATATAAAACAAACTCACAAAATTGTACTCAAATTATCTATAATATAGTTGTGATAATACCGTTTTGAGCAACGTTTTTACTAAATTGGATAATACAAAGGATCAATTCAAAATTAACACGATTATACTAGTTTTGGTATGAATCCATTAACAAAGGTAAAGAAAATCAATACTCATAGCTCTATTCGAACAAAACAACACAAAATCTAAACAAACTCACAATCTTGAAACCCTAATTTTGGGATGAATCGATTAACAAAGCTAAAGTATAGCCTCAATTCAAAAACAAAAAAAACAAAAAAAAAAACAAACAAATTCACGATCTTGAAACCCAAATTTCATGAATCTACTAACAACATTAACGAGAATCTATTGCTTACTTATAGTCCAATTCAAACAAAACAACACAAATTTCAAACAAATTCACAAGCTTCGAAGCTTCCGAAATAACAAAAATAAACGGAAACTGGAAAATAGTTGTTGGAGCCTTGAAGGAGACGTTGTACCTGGTGACTATAACAATAGAATGGTCGGTGACAACGACAACCACGAGATTTGGCGGTAAGAGTGAGAGGAGAGAGTAGGAACATTAATAAATTTATAGGAAAAAGGTAAAAATTCACTCAATTTTTTTCTCTTATTTAGTAGCTGAAGAAATTAAAAAAAAATTGAAACTTTTTGAAAAAAAAAAATACATTTTAAAATTTGAAAAAAAGGAGTTTGTGTGAGAGAGGTGTGACTATCAGCCGGGAGACCGATTTCAAAATTCAGATCATTTCAGCTTATCTTTGGTTTTGACTTTCTGGGTTTGGCTCTAAGTTCTTGGCTTTTCCTGATTTTGGTTTTGTCTGCTGCTTCTAGAATTGTTCATCTAAAAGGGGTTTTGAGTGTTTTGAAGAATTTAATCATCATCTCATAGTTAATACTGGTACATTACTCTTGAAATTTGTTAAAATTTTGCTTATTTTTGTTCTATCGAAATAAGACATGTTTTCCCCTTAAGCGTAATTCTAAGTTATTGGAGAATCAGTCATTATTAGAGATTGAGATACCTTGTGTGATTCCATTAATTATATTGTGAAGTTATTTTTAGTATCTTAATAATAAAATAAAAATGTGTATAATATTATAATTAAGCTCACAAGATTGATGCTCAAATTGTTTGCAATATAGTTGTGATAATTCTATTTTGAGTGAAGTTTTTACTAAATTGGATAACATAAGGGATTAACTCAAAATTAATACGATTATATAGGTATACACAAACACGATCTAAATTGCTACTGGGAAATTCAACTTAGGACTTCAGAGTAGGAGTGCCATTGTTTTCTTCCTTCTTTTTTTTTTCAATGAAAAAAATTATTTTATTCTCCTGAACTTTTTGTAATCTTTTACTTAACCCCTTATGTTGAAACAATTTGAACTGAAGCACCAAGATGTTGGGAAATTCAACTTAGTTAGGACTTAGAGTAGGAGTGCCATTGTTTTCCTTTTTTATTTTAAAAAATTATTGTATTCCCCTTAAATTGATATATATATATATATATATATATATTACTTAACACCTTTTGTTTAATAAATTTGAACTGAAGCACCAAGACTTTCATTTCAGTTTTTTAATTGTGTTTTAAGCATTGACTGCAGTGGTAAAGATGAGCTGGGTCTTACTAAGCATTTTTATGGATCGGGTTAAAAATATGCTAGGAAGACTTTCGTTACTTTTCTAGAAGAAGAATATTAGCATTGCAAAAACTAATATGCTGATACCACATATTAGGAGCACTTAATATGCTATTTTCACATACATACATAGAGTAGTATACCCTTTCTTTTTTCTTTAATGAACATAAATACAAGACATCCCTAATTTCCCTCTTTTCAGTCTTTTGTAATTCATCATCAAAGCACCTTAATACAAAAATAAAAATTAAAAATAAAAATAAAAAAGAAGAAGAAAAAAAGCCAGAATAATTAGATCAATTGAAGATGGCTTGCAGTCATGGGCTGAAATATTGAATCTGATTCCAAAGCTGATGCAAATTCGGGCCATAAGATGGCAGACACAGTCCATGAGCCATTCCCACTTGCACTGGGCCTTTGGTTCATATAAGCAACTCCAATTCTTTCAATAGTTGAACACACTGTTCCGAGCACTGGGCCCCCAAATCCAAAGTCCAATTCAGCAACTGGAAACCTTCTTCCCGAGGACAAAACCAGGGCTGGCCCACCTTGGCCCAACACAATTTTTGACAACATAAGCCCAGGCCTGTGACACTCGATCCAATCAATCAAATCCAGGAAATGGGCCTCATTTGTCACCTTTGAAATTGCATCATGAACTTTATTTGCAATATCTGATATGGAACTTTGCTTCAAATCATCAACTTTTGCCTCTCCAAAAGCTAGAGACAACACATTTCCTATGTAATTGGACATGGAAATTTGATCCTTACACATTCTAGTACGTCCATCCACTAACCAACCCATCTTGCTCGTAGCTTGGTTCTTCTCAATGGCTTTGACCATAATTTTCCATACATAGGCAGAGAATGCCTCAATTTTTGTCCTCCTTTTGCCATTGACACTAGCAAGACTTTGTAACCGATCCACGCTTGATGCGTCGATAAAATAGAGGCGCTTAAGCAAGATTTTTGGTGTTGGAATGTTCATAATCTCTTCAATGGTGCACTTGACAAAGGTTTGGTCTAAGGAAGGGTCATAAATAGGAGGGGTGCGCGCAATTAAGAGGTTTCTTTGATGATTTGGTTTGAAAGAAACAGGCTTATTTCGAGCTATTTCGGACCATGAGACGAGAAACTTACCGAAGGCAGTTGCATCCCCTAGGGCATGGTCAAAGGTGAATGTAAGTGAAATGCCTCCACAAGTATAGTATGTTACTTGGATTTGCAAAGGGAAGCCGGGAGTGATAGAAACTAGCCTTCCTTCAAGAGACTTGTTGAGATTGTAGAAGTCCAACATTTTCATAGGGATATTGGCATTAGCTTCCACAATAAGAGCACCCGAATTGTCACATATGATTTGGGGCTCGTTAGTATCGGTGTTCTGGACAATTCGACCGGCAAAGGGATAATAGTGCTCAAGGGTAATGGCAAGGGATTTCTTGAGGCCCTCAATTACCGGTTGACTAGTATGCTCATTGGCAAGTGAGTTGCAGTAGAAATAGAAGTATGTTACAGGAAATCGACCAGAGAGTAAGTCTAGATTGGATAGTTTTAGGACATTAGGATTTGGCAATGAGGGATTAAAAGCTTTGACAATATGATTTTTGGTCAAGTTTACCTCAAATAGACTTGTACTCTCAAAATCCATAACAAACTTTAGGTTGTGTAAGGAAAGAGTAGTGACTTTAGTTGATGTTTTCACTTTCTTTTGCAGCTCATGGCTTATATAAGTGGTAGATATACTATGGAGACCTGTTAGAGTTCACTCAATAAAAAAAAATGACGCTTGTATACCTCATGAAAAAAGCTACCTTTTTTTTCCTTGTAATTAAAGGGAATTGTAGGTATCATTATTCACTTCCCCCATCTCTTTTGTCCATCAGAAGAAATTTTAAATCCCATCAATAGATTGAAAAAGATATGATTTAATTCAACTCAAAAGATGGGCCCTATTTCATTCACAATTATAGGTCTAATAACTTATTAATTGGGTGTAATATTTCAAAATAAAATATTTACAAAGTATCAAGTATCGAACTTTAAACTGGTCATTTTGAGGAAAAAAAAAAAAAAAAAGACATCTTAATTGCTTCACCACGTTGAGCTTAATTAACTTACTTAGCGAATTATCCAAATCTAGATCCAACTTGATGAGAAGCCAAATGTGTTCATGTGCATTTTGTTAAATAATATTAGTCACTATTGATCTAAAGGAAGGAAGTCGAACATAGCACCAATAATAGAGGCATCATGATCATATCACCATTAATATTTTTGGTGGACTTGTCAAAGATGGATCCCAGCTTGTTTGCACTTATCACTGCAACAAATTCGTCACATTTACATTTACAAAAGCTCCTGCACGGTCAAGTTTGGCAGACAACATGATTTTGAAGTGCAAAATGGCCGAATTGGGTGTGATCTCTAGTTAGCTTCTATTACAATCATTATGATGGGTTACTGATCAATGCATTTAGGGAAAGTTAGTTGTCGTAATCAATTACATTCTTTTTTTAAGCCAAAAAATAAAAAGATAACATTCTTTTAAAGGAAATACAGGAAGGAATAGACTTTTAAAAGAGTTCAACAGATTCCCCATTCATCTTGAAGTGGAGAGAGTTTTTTTAGAATATGCCCAATGAGCTTCTAAGTTATCAATGTATTTATAATGGCCATTTTTAGAAGAAATTTCTAAATAATGACCTATTTAACATTCAAAAATGAAAATAGACACCTTTTTTTTTATGTACCCTTCAAGTTCTATACTAATTACATATTTATTTACGCGTAATCGAAATGAACATGAATCGGAGCGAGCAAGATTTAGAGTGAGGAATCGGAGTCAGAATAAGTTGTTTACTTAGTGACAGGATTCGAAATCAGAGTCACTCCAAATCTCATTCATGCGTTTACTTACACCCAGAATCAGAATGAAATAATATAAAATACTAATATACCCTTAAGTCAATTTTATATTTTTAATTTAAAAAATAAATTGTGTACTTATTATATTAAAATTAATCATAATTAAAAATTTAATGTAATAATAGGGCAGTAAAATAATAAATATAAATTGTACAATTATTTAAAATACAAAAATAAATTGTAAACTTTAAATAAAATAAAAAAAAATAGTGTTAAAAATTAAAATATATTATTAATTTATTAAACAAATAAATTATATTTTTATTGTATTAAAGTTAACAATAATTAAGTTAATATTATAATATTAGGCAAATAAAATAATAAATATAGGTTGTAATTATTATTTTTAAAATTTTATTTTTAATTTAATATTTATAAGTACAATAGGGATATGATAGTTATTTAATGATAATATTAGGTATGTGAGTCCCAATCTCAATGCCTCCACTCCCATGCCTCAATTCTAAAGAGTCCACCAATCCTATTCCTATTTTAAGATAAAAAAGAGCAAGTAAACATAAGATTAATTTTCATTTCTTACCCTTATTCATCAATTTTAATAAGTAAACACGGCATGAGTCTTTGTAAAAAGAAAGAAAAAGCATCAAGAAATTCTCACTTCTTAATTCTTATTTGACATGCGAGGCTAGATATAATATAGGGTTAGGATTGGATTGGACAAGACTCAAAGAAGTTACGTTGAGGACTATAATGTGTTTGGTATGCCATCACATTGGGGAAAAAACCAATTGAATCGGGTATGTTTCTTGTCAAATTGACCATTTCTAACAGCAATTCTTTTTTTTTTTTTCGTCTTTTATAAAGCAAAGTTAGATTTTTGAAATTATATGAAATAAGTTTTCTTTTTTTCCTTGTAACTAACAACAAAACTTATAGTAGAACATGTATTTTTGTTATACAGATATGAACCCTATTTTTAGCCATTGAATAAATTTTTTAAAAATTTAATTCACATTTTATAAATTTTTAATGCGGATATACACAAATTTAATTGTTAAAAAATTTATCTAACAGTTAAAAATAATCGTTAGCTTGTATCCTATCATAAAAAGTTCCCGTAACTTATTTATCTACAAAGAGTACAAGAATAATGAGTTTATTTGCCAAATTTAGTAGGATAAAATCATCATTTCGTTGAATGGCCCCTCTGATTTCCATTCATAGTGCTTGTCATTGTAACGTAAGACTCTTGTATTGGGATCTGCAAGGACATATGTTGCACTCACAATCTCGTCATTCTTACCACAGTTAATCCACTACTTATGGTGTAATTTTAACTTTCTGAACATCAAAATATCAGTCACTTGTGCAGATTGCAAGCAGTAATTGATTGTTGAGCCTATTGCATATGGTAGGTTTGACCGTCTCGTGTAATAAATGCAGGGACACAAATATAATCAGAGTGTTTCTTTAAATAATTAGAAAAAAAAAAAAACTATTATAGTTCTCTATTTTTTAACTGTCTTTATATATAAATTTTTTATTTTACGTACTTTTTAATTTAATGTGATTTTAATCGTATGTAATTATTAAAAATTGACCTTATTTATCGGATTACATAAAAGTCCCATATAATTTACCTTGGTAAAGTGGAAAATTCTTTTTCTTTTACCCTTGCTCTTAGTGCCGGTCCTTGTATACTCTTTCGAAGGCTTGCGTATCATACATGCATTAAGATGGGGTCAACTTACAATCAATTAATATGATAAATAATTTTTTCATTTGCAGAATTTGACTTCTTTTATTGTGCTCAAATGACTTGGCTATATGCTTAGTAATGATTTGTCTTGTAACCTTTTTAATTTTAGGTAGGGTGTCCCGTTTTTCCTATGATCCATTTAACTTCAGAAAAATGACTAGCCATATACGCCAAGTTGTGCCCACGCATCAATAATCTCATAAACTGAGATTGAGAAAATTGAGCAAACTTAAAATATGTTGGATTATTGCTAACGTGTAGATTGTTTATCTTTAGATAATTACTCATCTGTACCTAATTCAGCAATATACATATACATATATATATATAGTATATATATATGTAGATATAATCATCCAAATCCTAAGCATTTTGGGTTCTTCTCTCCTTTCGCCAAAACAAAATGTAATTTTTTGAATGATTTCAAAGATTTAGCTAAAATAGTGGTGGGATTATTATTATTATTATTGACAAGATGGGATAGTGGAGGATTGATATTTAGATGGTTGATTGTGGGAGACATAAAGAGATCATTGTTGCCTTCTTGTTGTCGGTCTGACAACAAAGAGAGCGATGTTGGTCCATTCGACTAAACACCAACATAGTGGCCATCGTTTGGTAAATTTCCTCTATATATGCCAATATCCTATTCGAGTCCATTAAAAAATGCTCTGAAATAAAAACATGCACAAGTATTTCATGTTAGTCTAATAGAGAAATAAGGATGAAAATGTCGGCATTAACAAAAATATTAGACATCCTAATTTACAAAATATCTAATGACACAAGTGTATCTCAGCATTATATATCAGGGCATTCACAAGAAATTAGTGGAAAAAGAGATATTAATAATATTTCTTCCGAAAATATAACATTTTGCAGAGCATGTTACTGAACAAGTATTTGATAATTTACAGGACATCACCATGTTTTGCTAGTAGATATTTGTAACAGCATATCTTTGTCCCCTAAATACCAGCCAGAACACTACAAATAGCATCCGAAATACGGGAAGCTAAATTCTCATCGATGGTAATAATAACTGTACTAGTCGCCCGGATTTCTATGCAAGCTCTACTAGGTTCAGTGATCTGTACCTGAGAAAAGTTTTCAGATTCAGCATCCATCGTGCCACCTCCTACAGTTCCCTTAATGCCCATCTTTGACAGTGCAGCAAAAAGGCGCTCTATGTCTGGTGAACCCCAGTGCATAATGTGCCTACATTTCAAGTCCGTCGGTTTATTTCCGGAGAGCAAGTGATGTTTGCCATGTCCAATGGTGAGATCTCCCTTTAACCTTGTGACACTAATGTGTTCTTGTTTCAACTTTTTGAAATTGAATTGAGTGGCCAAGTCCATTGGAATCTCTACCTCCGAGCTCTTCAAGCTTGATATAATTAGTGTTTCATTTTCGGTGTAGCGCAAAACTGAGAACAGCATTGACGTTGGAAAACAAATCTTCTTCAGATCCTCAGGTAACTACACTCAACAGAAAACAAAACAAGTTAAATCAATCAAAAAAGGAAACAAAGTTAAATAATATGCTTAAAGAAATAGACATTACCGCAACAACTTTTGGTTGCAATACCTCCAACAGTGGTTGAACTTCTCTCAACCTAAAATGAAAATAAGAACAAAAATCAAAGAACATGTTATGATGGTTAGACAACAAAATATCCAGCAGAACATGGTATTTCGGGCAACAAAAAAGGGAAAATAAGGAACAAAGTGTCCGGTTTAAAAGTACAATACTTTATTCCAGAGAGAAATGAACACTGAAGAACCTTCATTGCCATGGGCTTGAAAGGCAGAAGAGCCAGTTCAGCATCAATTCCATTCTGAAATGAACACATGCATTAGTTTCAACTCAGACATTAGTGAAGTTGTTCCTAGGTTGTGTAGACATATAACATTGACCACACTGCAGATGTCGAAAATTTTGATGAAATTTACAGGATATATAAGCACCTCAAGAACAAGTAGCGAGTTCTGATCCCCACACCAATGCCGAAGCAAATGAACAACAGGACCAAGTCGCAGACTCCCGCTAGGAGAAAATACTATGCATGGCTCCTGCCAATTTGTTCTATGCATAATATGTTAATCTCCAAAGAAATGCATAAAAAGGGTTTATAATAACAACCAAAATGATTTTCAAGTGGTGTCAAAATGCAGCCTTATTTTCATTTATGCTTTCTTTAATAGACAATTCTTGTTGAAGTGTTCTCAGACTACGATCCTGTAAAACTGCAGATTGACCTGTTTGCTTCCTTTTCCTCCTCAGGTACTCATGTTTTGAGGCGACAAAGAAAGAATCTTTGAACTTAATGACATGCAATCATCTACTTCAAATTCTAAAGTCTACCAAGAATAGAAATATCGAAAAGATTTTTGTAAAGTGTAATGAGATTTGTTAATCAAACATGTCCAATATCACAACCGCACATCATTACATCCCTCTTAACTGAATTGCGAGAATATAACTTGTAGGATCAACAGACATTTACGTCAGTTATGAGGCATAAATTGAGTCAAGATCTAAAGAATTTTGAGCCGAGCAATAAAGAAGAATTCTAAGGTACAATTTTGGAAAGTCATCTGCAGCACTCACAATAATTCAGGCGAATGAACTGCAGCAAACACATGAACTTTTTCCTCCTTTACGAGCTCCACATGAGAAAACAACGGCTCACCAGAAAACAGCTGAATATCCAACTCAGAAGAATCTCAGTTTCCAAGTTTATATGCAAATAAGTTATATGAAGTCAGCATACAAATGGGGACCACTAAGCCAAAAGAATATACATGCACCTTTTCTTGCCTCTCTCTGCACAGCCACTCAGGTATGATATTTGTTAAAGCTAACAATTCTTCAGCTACAGAGGATATAAAGTATATGGGAACCTAAAACATGGATGGATACTTTATAGGTTAGTAAGCATGCCTTTACAATGTAATTCCAAACTTTTGCTTCTTACTAATCAAAGTACGTGCAACAATGCAATGGCAAACCAAACAGTAAGAAAACCAGATAGTAGTGACAACAATCACCTACACCACATCTAACTAGTTGTTTGGATCACCAATCTGAAAATCAATTTGTTACAAGCATTGAACATCTAGCAGAAATAATCACCTAACAGTTTGATAAAAACTATGGGAGATAAGATCTGCGTCTGTTGTTAGGATAATTAACGTCTACCTTCAAGTTCGAAGAATCTAATGAAGCTGATATTTGCTCCAATAGCTGCAGAAGAATCCCGATTCGATACATAGGAATAAGGACTGAACCACCGGTTTTGACAGCATCAACAGCACATGCACACACAAAAGACAGTTTCTCGCTTTCCTCTGAATTATCATCGATGTCAGTTAAGGATCTGGATAATTCCTCAAGTTAATAAAAAGATACAACAAAGATCCAGTTTACCTATTTGTGAAAGCCTAAAAACTATAGCAACTACAAGAAAGATTCAAGCCAAAATGGTGGAACTTTGACTAATAATAAACCATATAAACAAATGGTACCTGAGAGATGCAGAATCATTAGTGCTCGGATCATGGTCTTCATTCTCTCTGTCATCTGTGGAACACAAGGATGAGAAATCTGAATATAAGACCAAATCACATCCAACAAGAGCGCGATAATCAAAGCCCATGGCATGCCCAGAGAAAAAGATGGAACTGGAAATAAACGCAACATCCCCTTTTGGACTATTAAGTGCCCAGTTACAAGCACCAATTTCTAAGCCTGAGCTGATCGCCTTCATAATCAATGTACCATTATAGCAGGTTTCCTCCAAATACTTAAGTGTGTGAACCTTTTGCATGCAATTCTTCACGTCAACTGCACTGAGAAGTTCCTTTTGTCACACCCTCCAATACAAAGGCAAGATATTAATGACTTCTTTTTATGAAAAAACGAATATTAGAGTTCTATGTAAATCACCTGTATAGAGGCATCCAACCACCCAACTTCCCTCCATCTTTGCCTGAAACTATCTCCTTCAATGCAGAGGGAAGATGGGCAACGTCTTGCCACCTCATCCACTGAGGAAAATTAGACTCTTCAGCCCCATAAAACTGTCTAAATTCCATATGCATTGTCACAAGGTCCTCCAACATAAGTTGCCCAATTCTAGCAGTAGCTTCAGTTGCACATATCTGACCCATTGAGAAATCAAAACTAAGAAAACGAAATTCATTTGCTGGGGGTCGCAAATTAAAAGGAAAACGATACACATCATGAAAAACCAGTTTCACCACACACCATGAATCTGGAATATAACTTCTTAGTGAGAAAAAAAAAAAGTTGGAACAAAGCAGTAGTTTCAGTTCTATAGAATCCACAGATTTTTTTTTTTTTTTAAGAAACAGGGATCTTTAATGATTATCAAAAGGA